TTATTATTAGTTATGGAGTGAGTTAACTCCACTTGATTTTAAAGCTTGCGCTGCTGTTTTTTCATGCCATTTTTACAGCTTTTATTTTTTGAAAACTTTAGTTTTGGACCAGACTTCAATAAAAAAATAAAGATTTTAGCACAGGGTAATTATCTCCATAGACACATGCCTTTTTTTACTATAAAGCAATTCACTTGTCAGTCCCGTGTGGGTTAGGCTGTTTCTCTTTTGTTGCCTTGGCGTGTTTTATAGCCCTTCGTGACATGTTCGCCAGAGTGACAGACATCTCGAGGAGTCTGTGAGAAAGTCGTTGGTTTTAATAATATTCCATTGCAAAGCTAAAAATAGTCATCCCCACAGAAGGCAGAGACAATTGAAGGATATGAATTGGCCCAGTTGTGTAGAACTCAAACCCATGACAATTCACTCGCGTTTGAATGGTAGCTTTGGCAGATATTTCTCCTTTGTTTTGGTGCCAGCAGCAGAGGGCAGTTTCTAAGCAACAAGTTGAGTTTATACTTTCAAGAACAAGATCAACGTGGCTTTAGAAACCCAGACTCCACATAACAGCAACAAATAACAAAAAACTCGCCTTCAGGCACTGTGAGTGTCCCTTCATCACTGCCTGATCTGAAACACTGACCATGTGGATGGACAGTGTGAAGTTTCCCATGCTCCCAGGTAGTTGTTGGATCAATCTAGACTTTTATTTATTTTAGCTACAGCTTTACAGTTTTAAAATGTTTTCATTTCTTAAAGGTCCCATGAAAGTCTGTCGCTTATTTTTTTGATCAGGTGATAAACTGTTGGAGTTATTAAATGTCAGGGTTATGATGAAACATGCGTGTCACTATTTTCTAAGGTTTTGTCCAAGCAAGATATTGAGTTTATGACCTGATTAATGAATTAGTCGATCCCACTTTTTTTGCCATCTATTTTAATGATCTATTTGTCATTTCAGTAATATTTCAAGCAAAAATTACAAAAAAAGCAGCAAATCCTTACATTTTAAGAAGCTGGAACCTGCAAATGTTTTGTCATTTGTCAAAATATAACAGGTTATACAATGAAATTGAGTTTTGTAACTCCCTTCTGCTACAAAACAGACAATATACATTTATACAAAAGCAATCATAAAAATGGTAAATAGAATTAAACAGTATTCATTGACCAATGGAGCAGTGACGAGAATGAATTTTAAGTTTAAGAGTCTGATAGTTTGGGGGAAAAGGCTGCTCTGCAGTCTGGTGGTGCGGCAGCAGAAACGTCTATATCTCTTCCCAGAAGGCAGCAGGGTGAACAGACTGTGGCTGGGTGGGTACTGTCCTTTAGTATCCTTTGGGCTCTGCGTGGGCACCTCACCTCACTGATATCACTGATGCTCGGGAGATGGGCACCAATGATCTTCTGAGCAGTTTTAATCACCCGCTGCACATCCCATGCCAGTGTGTGATGTTTCCAGTCAGGATGCTTTCTATTTCTCTTCTGTTAAAGCTGACAAGAACCTGGCACAGGAATTTGGCCTTCTTTCTCAAGGAATTCAGTTGTTTCTGAGCTTTCTTCACCGGCCTGGAGATGTGAGACGACCATGTCAGATTCTCTGTGATGCTGATTCCCAGGAACCTGAAACTGTTCACCTGCTCCACCTCAGCACCACTGATGTAGACAGGAGTGTGTGTCTTTACCTCCTTTTTCCTAAAGTCAACCATCAGCTCCTTGGTTTTGCTGATGTTGAGCAGTAGGTTGTTCTCTGAGCACCACTCTGCAAGATTATCAATTTCCTCCCGATATGAAGTCTCATCGAAATCCGGCCGATGACGGTGGTGTCGTCTACAAACTTCACAACAGAGTTCTCTTCATGTCGGGGGATGCAGTCGTGGGTGTACAGCGTGAACAGGAGGGGGCTGAGCACACGGCCCTGGGGGGGGCTCCCGTGTTGAACACTAAGTGGAGGAGGTGAGTGTGCCAATCCAAACTGTCTGGGGGTCTGTTTGTGAGGAAGTCCAATATTCAGTTGCAGAGCGTGGTACTCAAGCCCAGAGTTTGCCGATCGGGCTTCGTGGGGAGATTGTGTTGAATGCTGAGCTGAAATCCACAAACAGCATTCTGATGTAGCTGTTGGTTTTTCTCAAGGTGTGTGAGGGCTCAGTGGAGGGCAGTGGAGATGGCATCCTCTGTGGATCTGTTGTTCTGAAAGCAAACTGGTGAGGGTCCAGGCTGGCTGTGATGTTCTTCTTTATGTGCTGAAGAACCAGTTTCTCAAAGCACTTCATCAGAATGGGGGTGAGAGCCACAGGATGGTAGTCGTTCAGACTAGACACTGCAGACGTTTACGAGGTACAGGAATGATGGTGGCTGGGCGATAAAACAATAATGATAATTATCGCAATCATTTTCCTCAATAACAACAATATAATAAATGTTCAATATATCGTCAATAAATATTTGGTTTAATTCATTTGAATCGCAAACAAATTAGCACTTAACTTTTCTATTAAAATATTTATTTTGTTGAGGAAAGTGGGACTGAAAAAAGATTTACTAATCATATTTGATTTTATGATCATAGTTTTGAATGTTCTACCTCAGATTTGTGTAGTGATCCACTGTTTGGCATCAAGTGTTTGTCACATTCTGACCATAAAGAAAAGTTTAAACCATATAATTAACCTTCTGGTTTCTTCAGTTTATACTTAGGAGCAAAAATCAGCCTTTAAATTTGAAAGAAGTAATGATTTGATATATGTTGTGATGATTATCAATATCGAATGATATGAAATGTTTTTATTTTTGGCCATATCTCCCTGCCCTACATATACTTTATATACTAAATCAGACAGAAAAAAACAATCAGCAGATCATCTACTTTGGAGACATGAGCCGCACCACATTACATACAACATACAGATGTTAGTGGTTACAGATTTATAGAGTGCATTTTATCTCTGCATGTATGTTTCCAGTCTCACCTTAGAAAGTATCACTACCATACTAGGGGTTGGCAATAAAATCTCCTATCACGCTGGTATATGTAATTTTATGTCACGGTAACTGTATATATTACGATACAGTAATTGTTCTGTAAATTCAATAAATGGTTTTTATTATTTCAATTAATGGTTTATTTTCTTCTTTATTTGGAACTTCAATACAAATAAATCAAATCCACCTGCTTTGTATTTACAGTATCAAAGTATTGACCGATCTTTACCGGTGGACACATTTTTAGGATCTACCGTCATATCGCCCAACCCTTACCATACCGATGTGGCAGTTTTAGCACACTGCAGGATTCCACACATTTCCACGCCGCTACTTATTCTCAAACATGATGGTTTCTTTCTAGTGGAGGAAATTCTTTCTCTGAGTTTTAAAGTGCGACGCAGTGTAGTTGCCATATTTGGCAGCCCCTGGGGGTTTACAGGCAGATCTTAATAAAGCTGGATCTGTTTTCAGTGGCCTTAAAAGGAGCTGGAAAGAGACCCAGCACCTGTTTTACATCTGTAGCAGGCATAGCCCAGCAAAGGCTGATAACACAGCCGCAGGAATCAGAGGAGACAGAGAAGGTTGGAGAGGAAGGGGATTTCTTGAGTCTGATGTTATCAAGACAAGTTATCAGGTTCAAATGACAATACATGCAATATTCTGTCATGCGAAACATACAGGAAACTTCAGTCAGTGTATTTGTTGCATATATTGATGGTAAGTTTACAAAGCAGACACAGCTCTACGTTCTTCACTGGTCTCACACACAAAGCAGCTTTAGTCTGGCATCTCATTGCTGTCATCTCCCCTTTTCGCTCAGTTTGTGCTACAAGAGAAAGGATTCGCCTAGTTACCATGGAGAGCTGGTGATAACAGTGGAGTGTCCATACAGTACAGGCCATCTGCTTCTTAAAAAGAGAGGCAGGTGAGGAATGAGGGATTGGAAGAGACTAAATGTGAAACCTGCTGAGCCAAGTCTGAAACACTGTGCAGCACTGATGCATGTTTTGCCTCAGATCTTCTCTGTTGAGTTTTGAACTATTTGAAATGCGATACCGATGATATCAGTGTTTAGTCGGGCGGTCACCCATCCGATATGGAAACAAACTAGTGACTCAAGCATCCCATTTAAATTTTTTCCACATTTGTCATTTTATGTTCCACTGCTAATATTTTGCACATTATATACAGTTAGTATTCTAATACTTTGTTGGTTTATGTGTAAACTGCTCTTCAGTTATTTCCTTTATTATATTCAGTTGTCTGCTCCAGCATTCTAGTTGTCATTTAATCCAAAGGTTCAGTCACATAAATCGTTGGGTATTGTTTGGATTTCTTTAGGATTCCGGTGCCAAATCAGTACTATATTAAAATGGTTCTGGTGCTTAAACTGTGCCTGAACCGATATAATATAAGTAAATACAAAACAAATTTACAAAACCAACCCAAATACAGTAATTTAACACTAAATATGGCAAAATAAATTTTGATTTGGTATTCATGTGCTACAAACCAGCTTCAACCCTAAATATGTTTATGGCTGTTGTATTTGGGCAGAAAGGGCTGTTCATTGTAGTTGCTGTGTTCTCCAGTGTTTCCAGGAGGTCCGTGTCATGGCTGTCGGCGAATGTGTAATATGCGTAGAAGTCTGTCAATCATTTATTTTCCTACCTGCGATTGGCAGAGCGTTGAGGGGGGCAGTTGTTGTTGTTCCTGCTAGCCTGGGGGAGTGTGTGTGTTAGCCTCGGGACAGAGAGGGTGAAAAGCGAGAGAAGTTACAACGTGCAGCTTGCTGTTGAGCCAGGTTTGTTTCTTTGACGTAGGCTGCTGGCGCACGGTATGCTGTAGCGTTGCAGCATTAATAGAGACCGAACGAAACCGGCTGTCTGCTTAGAGCCTTTCGTTGAGGGACTGCTGTGAATAGTACCTGTACCGTGTTTCAGTACCCAACCCTAATCATTAAGGCTAATAAACAGGCTAATATATCATGTTGTGTCTCCTCCAGCCAAGCACGCTGCCTCAGGGCACGGTGAACATGAACCTGTGTACAGACGTCATAGACGCTGAGCCCAAGACGGGCCAGAAGAACTCTCTGTGCATTATCACCCCGGACCAGGAGTACTTCATCAGAGGAGAGAATAAAGAGATCATTAATGGGTAAGTTGTCCTGATGTGTCTGCAGATGGGTTGTGCAGGATAGGATGTGCACACACAAATGTCTAAAACACTCTTCCGTCCGTCTCCAGGTGGAGTGAACAGCTGGTGGTGTACCCCCGGACCAATAAGCAGAACCAGAAGAAGAAACGCAAAGTGGAGCCTACGACCTCCCAGGTAATACTCCTTACACGGTACGCAAAGAGCACATGACACAGCTTGATATCATATTCCACTTTTCTTCCTTTTCGTTTCATTGTTTTGATGGTTTCATGTGCTCGTGTCCAGGAGCCAAGGCCCAGCCAAGGTAGCAGTGACCGGCTCTGGTATCCCTGAGGCGGAGAAGGTTCCAGACTCGAGCTCCATTATCTGGCAGGAGGAGCTGAACCAGAGAGAAGCGGAGGGGGCTGCTGTCTGGGCCCCTGCTGACCTGCCTCCAGGATCCCCGCTGCCCCTCGCGAGTAAGGAGGAATATCTCTTTGAAATATAAATGAAAGCAAACGTCATTCACACAAGATAATTTTAAAAAGTGAAACAAATGTTGTGGATATTCTGGAAATTGTTATTTTTTGTTATAAAGGTATTAAGATGTGCGGTGGCTTCCTCTGTTCCTCTCGTCTAGGTGACTGTGTGCCTCTAGCACAGGGTTCTGACGCAGGCTCAGTGAATGGCGACGAGGTGGACAGAGGCAGCCTGCCACTGCATGGCTCTGCTCCCCAGCCCCCCAGTGACCTGCTCTCCCCGACAGGCTCATGCTCCAGCTTGGGGGGGGTCCCGCGTTGCCTCTCCCCAGCCCCCAGTGACCCCTTCCCCTCCGGCAGCTCCCTGCTCTCTAACGGCTCCCACATTAGCGGCTCGGTAAGCTCTCTGGACTCGGACGCCAGCGGCAGCACGGTGACCAGCACCGACAGCCACCCGGCCAACCAGAGGGGCAGCCACACCTACAGCCACCACGACACGCCGCGATCCCGGCGGCTGGAGGCCGAGGCCAGAAAGGCAGAGAAGAGGAGCCGCTTTAGGAGCCCTGACAGGCAGGAGAGGGAGGCCGTCCTCAGCCCCGAGAGGAGGTCAGTGTCTGCTCCTTCTGTCTCCTGCTGTTGTTCAGTAACAGTGTTAATCCAGAACGGTGCCCTTAAAGTCATCCTGCCTTTCTTTATCTCAGTGGTTCCCAGACATTTGGGTAAAAGAAGCAAAGTTGTAAACTTTTAGAGAAAGACATGCTACATGTGGTGAACATCACTTGTTGAAGGCAGAAACAAGTATTTTCAGACTGAACCTGCTTACAGCTGACATTGTGATAATTTTTTAAAACATTTTAAATTTGACTGTTCATCCCAAAAAACTGTACTGAAGTACAGGTTTAGACACATCAGTTACTGGCTGCAGATAAGGGCAGTTTGAACATTTCTTATAAATAGAATAGTATTTCCAATCTCTGCTTTTAATAGTGTCCTCCAGCAATTTAGTTTGTACTTCTGTGAAGTTGGAATGTCTGACAAGAGGTGGATTAAAACAGAATGGTCTAAATAAATATCATGACCTTAAACACCATAAAAGCTGAATCCTACAACTCAATAGACAGATTTTTTCGTTTTTAGTTCCAAGCAGAGATGATGACAGAAGGCCTTATACAGCTATACTTATATTTTCACAGGCCACATCTCAAGGTGTAGAATCAGTGGAGTGCCCCTTTAAAACTCAATCTTGGATAGTGACAAGTTGCTCTGCAGTCTTTTTTTTGTCTGTTGTGCCATTCCAGAGGATGCATAGCTCACTAAATCTACAGTACATAACTGAGATAAAGCTCAGCTTCATCTAACCTGTGAATGGCGGTGTTGTGAAGTACTGGTGTGATTCGCCCACCCACATTTAGGCAATCCAGTAGATACGACGGAACACGAGGAGAGAGACTCACTTTCACAGAACCAGGATGTCATTTCTTTTGCTGAAAGTGACTTAAATGAAACAAGAATGACACATTAACACGCAGGTGTGACTCAAGAGGAAGTGACATGCTTCTGATTACATCTTGCTGTCCTTGCTGAAAGGTCAGGTATTAAATCAGCCTCTGGTTTGACCTGATGAACCAGGTTAGTGGACTGCTTTCTTGGAATCTCAGCTCCATGCCACAGATGCTGTGGTCTGGAAATACTTGAGCCTTTGGCTTATCCTTTTAAAGGCATGTAAACACACAGACACAAAAAGCCCAGTGACGTACTTCCAAAGCTTTTGATGTGCACACACACACTCTCAGAACTAGTGTTGTGGTTTTAATGGAACAGAGGGGAAAAGGGCTGTATTTGGTGAAATGATGACTTACTGGGATTTGTGTTCAGTTTGAATATCCTTGTTATGTTTGTGCGTGTGTTTCTGAGAAAATCTGTTACTTAATAATCACCCTCCCTGTCAGTAATACTGCCGATAGAAAAAGTATAAAACTAACTTAAAGCATAGACATTATAAACACACAGCCTCTGTACTTTCCACTCAGTAATCTGGTGCTGAAGGGGGTCACAGGTCTAACACACATACACACACACACCAGAGACAGCAACATTTCAAACAAACCAAGTAGGTGAGGTGGGGGTCATCTTTTTCCTCCCACGACCAGTTTCATGCCCCATCCATGCCAGGCGTGAAAGGAAAAGGAGGAGAGGAAAATAGGAGTGCCTACATACTGCCCCATAAACACATTACTGGGCCACTTGAGCCAGTTTGGGGTTTAAGTGAAGCAGACTCTCTCTGTACAGACAGGCACATACAACTAGCCAGAGAGGCTGTTAATCTAGTCCAAACAAGATTTTTTTTAAAACAAACACACAACCCGGGACGTCCTGGTGCCCCAACCATGAATCACAATGTCCCTGGTTTGCATCTGGCCAGGGACCTTTGTTGCATCTCATTCCCCATCTCTCCCGTCCCCATTTCCCATCTAATTAAGACATAGAAACAGCACCCCAAAGAAAACAAACTTGTACAACCATGTCTTCCTCTCTTCACGTTTGACATTCGGTCACATCCAATTGCATGAAGGAAATTATGAATATCCTGCTCAATGCTTTACAGACGGCATTCTGTCCTTGTGCATTGTTGAATGTTAGAAACTAGCCATATAGAATTTGCTACTTAATAAATGATGAAATTAAGAATTTGATTCACTGTGAGAAGAGAGTGATGCTTACATTAATTAAAAAGCAACTTCACGGCCCGTTTAGCTTGAACACACTAAATGTCATTCAGACTTCCATGGCTCTTTCTGTAAATGTAATGTCTTACTCAAGCTGTAAGGAAGATTAACGTCACGGGCACCTACATCTGAATGACATGATGCCAGCAATGTCACATGTTCCACGTCTGAAAAGATTCATTAGATAGTTGTAATATTTTCATCTGATGTCATGTCCTATCTGCCAAACTCAATAAATATCTTAAACCCTGAAATAGACACTCACACAGAAGTTAAGGACAATGAGCAAAATGGGTGGTTGGAGTTGTTTGCACATGTAGATGCTTGTTAAAAAATCATTTATGATTTGATTCAGGTTTGATTTGTCTCGCAAGAAGGGGAAAGAGAAAAACGAAACTGAAACTTAACTTTATTTAAAAGTAGCTGCATATAACACTCAACATCACTGCTAGTGAGCACTAGTGTACAATGGTGGCAACACAGGCCAGAAAAAAATTATTGGCAAACACGTTTGATACAAACAAGACTTTCATTGTTAAGGGACCGTTGCCTCCCGACTTTTTGCATATCAGAGTTTGTGATGGGGCCCTGTCAAATATATATCCCGACAATTTCACTTGAGTCATATGGAAAATGTCATATGGTGGGTGTTTGGCCTCACACTGTCCTTGTCCTCCTTCCCTCTGCTTCATTTCCTTTTAAGGACTGCAGCTTTGGCCCAAGAGTCCCCAAATAAGGGCAACATTTAGGCTAAAGAGTAATATAATATTTCCCACTGCCTCTCAGCCTCTTCCTCTCTCTAATGCAGATTCCGCTTTCCAAAAACCTCATTGGACAAAAGGCTTGTGTGGGAACGTGTCAGAGTTGGCAGTATACTGTGTCACAGTTTGAGGAAGGTTCCAGATGGACACCAGTGAGCTGGGGCTGGCCCTCAGATAGATCTTTCTAACACAATGTTTCATACAGGGCCCCTCTCAACGTTGCACTGATTTCGAAAGGCCAATTTGTACTTCTGCATCAAGTCTACATCTGAGCCTACGGTGTCCGCTACGCACATAGCCACGCCGTTGTGAGCATTTACATTTGTGCGTTGGTGTCTGTGTCACTCTATTACACCGCCAAAACGCTACTTCTTGTTCCTCTGTGTTGACTTCCGCTGGCTAACTCCAGTTTAGCACTCCGCTAACTTGAATGAAGCTAAAACATTAATCATGGCCTCTTCTAGACTTTGAAAGAAATGTTGTTAGACTGAATGGATCAAATTCTAATAGTGAAACGAGTCATTTCGTGGGGGTTGTGACGCTAAAAAACTAATTAGCCGCCGTTCCCAGCCAGTTAAAAGCCCTGTGGCTTCAGTGCATGGGGCACTTCCTGGAGGCTTGGAGGAAATACGATGCTACCAAGCCAACCAATCACAGCATGTAGTTACGTTTTTAGGGAGGTAGATTTGACACTGTAATATAAATCGGCCTTTAGCTGTCAACAACTTTGTGAACCGGTGACTTAACTCTTATTCTGTATTACAAAAACTTGTAATTCTCTCATGGATCCTTGCATTCACATTTTACAACACATTTTTCACATTTTCTTGCCGTGTGTGCCACCTCAATGAATGGCTCCTTTTTCTCCCCTGAATGTCACATTTCTATCCATACACTAGATCAATTGAAACTTTTGTCACAGTAAATAAGGAACAACAGTGTGGGATGATTTTTAAATAGTTTTTAAATTGATTTGCCTCTTCACAGTTCTTAAGATGCTGAGGAAGCACAAACAAGAAAGAGTTCAGATGGGGACTTTTAGTTAATTTAGATCCCGAGTTTAGATACTGGAACTATTTAGTTAAAAGGGGGATTAAGACAAGTCTGATGCCATGTCCCACAGACCTTAGTGCCTTTCAGTGACTACAGGGAAAAGGAAAAAATAATACTATACAAGTAATACTAAATTGATTTATTTTTATTTTTTCTCCCTGTGGGTTGATTTGCAGTCGCTCCGGTGTTATTGAGAAGTTGGAGGCTTTGGAGCTGGAGAATCCAGAGAAAATGGAGGTGGAGGAGTCGGGGAGGAACGCCAGACAGGGCCGAAGTGAGCACAGACGCTTCCACAGAGAGGTAACACCACTGTGTGCGTGAGTGTGAGTGAGAAGGCACGCACCCTTGCATATTTCATCAAGCAGTGCCAAGATTGTGCAGCAGTTTACAATAGATACGCTAAGACTTGTAAACACCGTTGTTAAACAACATCACATGGCAGTACAGATGTGAGCTCAGCATTGGGTATACCAGCGTGGGTTTTTTTTTTTTTTTTTTTTTTTTTCTGTCCCAGCACCTCCCCCCACTCTGTCTTTTCCCTTCACCCTCGCCTTCTTCCCTCCATCTTTCCCTCTCTCTGTCCTGTCTTTGTTTTGGTTGTAGTTCAGAGGTCAGCAGTGTATGCTGTATTCATTTCCAGTTTCCATTCTGTGGTGGGATTCCCCTGGTGATTATGCTTTCCTTTCCCACCCTGGCCCTCTGTGCTCGACTAGAGCCGCTCAAAACCCAACTTTAGGAACACAGAGACCCAAAACACTGACGCGCAGAGTCACGGTCAGACACTGTGAAACACTTGGGTTTTTTTGTTCTGGAAGTAGATCTTTGTCAGTCTTGCACGGATGAAAATATCACGTACATATACAGATAGCGATGCCAAAACTGCTCTGTGCTTTGTTCTCCACGCACACATAAGCTATCTGCTGTTATTACCGTTGCTTTCAAACAATACACACACTGATTTAGAGTTTGCAAGTTTAGCCTCACGCTATCAGTGTGTTTTTCTGTTTGTGCAGAGTTGATATGAGGGTTTGACAAATAAGGAGCGGTTGTCATGACATTTCTTCACAGCACATTAATGCCCATCCAAACAGACCAAATTAGTTAGATTATAAATAATCTGTGAATTTTCAATTTTGTATGTTGTCTCTCAAAAAGTGTCATTCTTTAGTATTTCTGTTCTATTTTGTGGATTTTTAACTATGAAAGTTAATGTACCTTACACAGGTACAAAAACAATGTAGAAAATCTTGCATGCGTTTATGTGTGTGTTGTTTAGGAGCAAAGGCATGGCGTGGGCCAGGGTCTGGATTTTCCCTCCACCATGCCGCCTCTGAGGAGAGCCAAGTCCCTGGACAGAAGGACCACAGAGTCAGTCATGACGGTGAGTGTTTACTGTTCTCTTGGGTAAAACTTCCTCATCAAGGTCTAAGGTTCATTTCTAACACATCTTCTGTGACTATCAGAGGTTGTTATGCATATAACTACCAGGCAACCAAATGTTCTTATGAAGGATATGACTTTCCATCATGACCACAGTGTTCTTGGTTTAACCAGTAGATTATATTCTACGTCTTGTTTATAAATGACAGGACTCATGGAAGCTACATTAAGCAGGCCAGATCATCAAAAGCTAAAAGATACACAGCCATCATCATATCCCTGGCTTAGACATTCACTATGGCTAAAATGTTGGTAAAGTTGCCTACTTCGTCATGTGATGAGTCCAACCTTCACTCTCCTTTTAGTTCGGTGTTTGCCTCGGGATCTATCTGAATTGCTAGATGCTAAAAGCTTGACTTTCTTCACTAGGCAGATATTGTACAGTAAGTTTATCAGGGCTTGTTTCTTGGCTGTCAGCAGGAGTTGTTGCGAATAGTAAGAACCACACAGTATGTGGGCCATAACAGGCAGCTAAAATCGGTTAGAAAGCTTTGTAGAGCTGCAGAGTCAGCTGATTATTCTCTGTGGTTGTTGTCGCTACAAGCAAGCCTTTCCATATTATGCATAGTAATTTGATTCAGTGTTAGTATTACAAATATTGTTGATCAATGCAAGTTTAATATTGATATAAGGGTTCAACCAACAATTCTTTTGCCAATTATTTTCTTGATTATTAATCTTGTCTATAAAATGTAAAAATAATTGCCTTTTAGCTAGTGATGGACTGATATCTGGCATAATCAGCATCATGACAGCACATCTAATCTAAAAACATTTCTGGATAGCGTTACATATATTGTTATACTGTAGAGAATAATGCAGTTGAATGACATCACATCTGACAATCTGTACCCCACTCTGCAGTCGGTCCTGCTCTCTAAATATGAAAATTTACTTTCTCAATCAATTTTCTGTCCCAGTTTATTGACTGATCGTTTCAGCTCTACACCTGAAACCAGTGTTTTAATCTACCCATTGGCTGTTTGTTTTGTCCCACAGTACTAATAGAAAGCCTGCACATGAGCTTTAAACCAGCTAGTTCACTTGTAGAAGAAAGATAGCTAGATGCAGTTTGAGCTTCAAAGCTTCAATAGTTATTAAAAGCAAATAATCGTTGCTCCAGGGGGAACCGTAGCTGAGAGTCCAGAGTAGGAGAGTCTGATCCGAACAGGTCCAGAGCAGAATCCGGGATTAGTTTAGACGAGTGGGGATCCAGAAAGCAGACGGGATTATCGCTAGCAGAACTTAACAATGTTATTATGCATAATTCACTTTTAACTTTTATTATTCTTCTTCTACAATTGGCCTAATATAATTATTTTGATATGTTCATTATGTTGTTGTTTGTGTGTTTCCAGTTTACTGATAAATTGTATTTTCTACAGTTAATCAGTAAACTGTAATTCTACAGTTCAATATAATTAAATATTCAAATCTCAAAATTGAAAATCGAATCCGTATCCAACGACCGAATATTCGGGTCTAGCCCTATTCAGCTGAAGATCAAATTTGTTCTGATTGCTTTGACATTAACCCAATACTTCCTTCCTTCTGAAGACCAGTGTGTTTCAGCGTCTCTGGTCTCCCAGACAAAGCCTCTCCGTACTGCACAGCATCAGTGCCAGCTCTTCAGCTGTGTGGAGAGAGGTCACTGGGTTGTTGTTGTTGTTGTTGTTGTTGTTGGAGCAGAGTGGCTGGATTCAGTTAGGTAACAGAGTTAGGAGAATTAAAAATTGAGAAAGATCTCTGTGGGTAACGCCAAGAGCGTAACAGCTTTGCTTAGAAAACGGATTTTTCAACTGGGAAAATTGCTAAATGTCATGGGAAAACAGTATTTATGATACCCACAGAGCTCTATGTACTGCAGTATTGTGAGTTTAAGGAGAACTCACACATTGGCCTGTTTAATCCATCCACTCATCCATGTTTCTTTTAAGTGACTCTGACCTTTGACCTCTCAATTAGGTTGGGTAAAAGAAAAGCGCATTTCTCCTCTCTCTTAGATCCCATTTCAACCTGACATCGGTATGTAATTTCTCTGTAGGGCTGGGTGAAATTGCTCATAAATATAGCAGAATTTTTAGGCTATATTGCGATACACAATATATATCTCAATAAACACTATATACTTTGTCTAGTATAACATACTGTACATTCTGAAATAGTGTAAACATGATGATCTTGTAAAATATGATGCATTGTTGTAGGTTACAACACCCAACAGTATATTAAGTAGTTAAAATGAGCTCAACCTTAAACATCTACAGCAGTAAAATGCAACATGCACATTAATGCAGCAGTGATATTAATTAATTACCGGCTGAACCTTCCCCTTTTAAGGAAGCTTGCTTTGTGGGTAACCTGTGTGTGTGTGATGGAGTCTTGCGGGTTTGTTGTGAAAGCGAGTCTTTCCTGGTGTGTGAGGGGTAGTTACTTTAGTCAGCCGTAAATTGTGTAGATAAGCCCAGCAGTTTAATAGTTACTGAAAGGCTGTGTGTTGTGTTTGCTGCCACAGAAAATAAAGTTCAATTCAACTCGGCAGCCATCTTAGTAACGCCTCCATACAGTTATTTCGAACATACCTTTTAAGACCCGGCTCCTATCTAAATGAATGAAGAAGGAGCCATAACTGCACTTTACTGGTCACCTGGACATAAAAATTGCTGAAACAGTTTGGTGACTTTGCCCCAAAAATGTTTCCCACTCGTTTTACTTCTACTGCGCATGCGTGGTAGTACCAAGGGCGTCACTTTGTGATGAAAAGTGGTGGGGACATAAGGGCTCAGATTAGGGGTGTGAGACACTTAGCTCGCGAGACATCACAATAAGCAATATTAGGTTCATGAGAATGATGCAAAACGATCCTTAAACAGTTTTAAAGATATCCTCAGTGCTGAGATATAGGAGCAGGGGGTGTGGGAGGACCACCCCCAGAAAAATTTCCTGCATTCTGGTGAAAGTTTCTGCACCAAACACAAAATTCAGATAGCACATTACATTTCAAAATATATAAATATAACAGAATCTAAGTCAGTGCAGCTCTCAGGCATTCTGTGTTGCTTTCAGATCTGTTTCTCCTGTAGATCAACTTTTCTCATGTAATATCATCCCTGAGGCAACACATATTTTGGCATGATTTAGTCTTCTCTCCTCTTTTGTCATGTTCACAGGGAGAGAAAAGGGGCAAAAAAGAAACTGTCAAGAAGTTGTTAAAGTTCACGTTTTTGCGGGGTTTTTTTGAACAGTGCACATTTGTTTCTTCTATATTTTAATTGCATTGCATGTTTTCTTAATGTGCAAATAAACCTTTCTAAAGGCATTTTCATTTTTAACAAATTGTCCTGGTGGGGACATAATCAGCCATTTCAAAGAGTGGTGGGGACATGTCCCCAGCATCCCCAGTGGAAATGATACAATAGACACAATAGACTGTATATAAAAAAGGTAGAACTGACCTATCGTCAGTGGAACCACACAATTGGCTTTCCCGCCTCAGCTGTTAAAAGCAGACATTGGCTAACTATTATACTGCAACCTGAGCTTATCTATACACTTTATGGCTGACTAAAGTAACGGAATCACCCCTCAGCAGCGACCAGCAGAAATACTGAAAACTCAAATATGATATGGTCATCTGCTATATTATATATCGCACATTAATTAATATTTGAATATATTTGATATATAGCCCAGTCCTATTTCTGTGATGAATAAAATTGCCTTTTTCCTAATGTTTTTTGGCATTGGTGTGGTGGTGCGAGGGTGTGGATGTTGTAGGCCAAACCTCCATGCTGCAGGGGGCAATGCAGCCCCCTCCTCTCCCTCTCCTCTCCAGGTTATACTCCTCTTACTGCTCCCTCTGTGTGCAGATTTTGCCCTCTGTGTGTATCCATGTTTGTTATATGTCATTATATTTCTGTTGGCTGGAGGAGTGAGACAGGTGCCTGCCTGTTTATGTGTGAGAGTGTCCAACTTAACCACTGCTTCCTGAGGTCACCGTGCACACGTGTGTGTTTCTTTCTTCCTGTGTGGAATCACAGCAGACTACAACAGTACTGAGCACTGCGTTCTGCCTCCTCAGCTGGAGTAGCACAGACCGGCAAGAAATCTGGCAGAAGTTGCCCCTGGCCATGGTCCACATTTAAACAATCCCATATCTGATTTTAATTTGTCCAATCCATTGGTAGGGTCAACTTCTACCCTCAGCTGACTGACTGAGCATGTTTTTTTGAATATTGACAATATGATTTTGTACTTGAATTTGACGATACAACAGAGTCATATAAGAATTGTCTTTGTCTACTTTTTGGGTTTGTCATTTGTAGTCTCCTTTATGTTAAGTGGTCGTAAACTACAGCACTTTGACAAAGAAAATGACATGGTTTATATTTGTATTTGACTGCTATTGATGTCATCTTGCATGTTCAGCATTTTTTAAACCACCTTTCTTTTAGTACAGAAGTTTTCTCAATTCTGTATATTTTTTTGTCCTTTTTTTTGCAGCCGGATTTGCTGAATTTCAAGAAAGGTTGGATGGTGAAGCTGGACGAGCAAGGCCAGGTACTTTCTGAACTGTTAATCTGCCTTTGTCTGTAAGAAGCAGTCATGAAAAAAGAGAATAAAAGTGCCAAACAGAGTAAAAGAAATCAGTGTTTTTGTTTGCTAAAACAATTTGCTAGTAAAAATTGAAAAAACGTATCTAACTTCAAATCACCCAGAAAGAGTGACAGTGCAGTAAATATTACTGTAATGTTGTCTTTATATGATAGTTTCACCCTGAGGGTTTCTTTTATAAAAAAGACTGATTACGTCATCAGTAAGGGAATTAAAAGCCAGTTCAAACAGCATCCGAACTGTCCGCGTAAAGCACTCCGTAGCATTCTATGGCCTTTACAGAGGTGTGGTCAGACTTTGATGTTGTATCTTCAATAGACTTAAAAGACCAGGGTGGAGCCTGAAGGCTTTATGATACAACTTTATATGAAACACAGAGAGGCAAAGCAGGTGTTTTTGACTGACTGGACGTTCAATATGTGACTACTTCTTTATATCTTATTACCGTAACATGCACTGCAGATGTAAGTGGCTGCTGGACAGAACTTTTTTGTAGCCCAACTTTGTCTGTTTTTTCCCGTCCATGTCGTAGTGGAAGAAATACTGGTTTGTTTTGACTGATCACAGCCTGAGATACTACAAGGATTCAATTGCAGAGGAGGTAAGCTCAGTCGTTCTATGTCAATACTTATTGCATATTTTTATGTTTAACAGTTGTTGTGTTTCATGTTTACCCTTCGTCTTTCTTCATCTTTGTGTTACTGCAGGCCTCTGACCTGGATGGGGAGATTGACCTGTCTACTTGCTGCAATGTAACTGAATACCAGGCTCAACGCAACTATGGTTTCCAAATACATGTAAGAGGCTTTGCCTTCTAACAAGGGACACATTTTTACTATGAATAATCATTTATTCAGGCAGTTATATTAGCATAGGAAAAGTGCCCTTTTTTAATAAAGTAAATGCCCTTTATACATAATACTGTGATTCAATACAACGGGTTATAGTTTAGTCACTCTAATGTTTTTGCGTCTCCTTGTACGGAAATAAGATAACCAAAATACTAGAAACCCTTCTCAGGATGCAGTTCAATACAACATAACCACAAACTACAGCCTCAAAATGTACTTTAAAGTTGTCAACAAACAAACAACTCAAGTAGTAGTCTAAATAAAGGGTGGAATTATCCCATATCCCAAATTATGTAATACAGTAAATATTATGGAACATCTGTGAGGAAACATTTTATGGATCAAACAACCGGATAGGAATTTGGCTAGTCCAGTGAACAAAATACCTGAGAAATAAGGTGCATTATTATATAAATACAATCATCATCAAATAAAACACAATCAAGTTACAATAATGTCTGACGGTAGACACATTGCTATAATCTCATGGTAGACACTGTTATCATCCAACTCTTAGTGTAAACAAAACAGAACTTTTAAAATAAATCAGTATTTATTGCAGACCTGTTGTGTAACATTATAGACCTTTGTATTTTTATTGCGTGTGTGTCATTGTGTGTATTTTGTGGTGCCTCTGAATGTTTAGACCCAGGAGGGAGTGCACACTCTGTCGGCCATGACAGCAGGTATACGCAGGAACTGGATCCAGGCAGTCATGAAGAACGTCAGACCCTCCACTGCCCCTGATGTGGCAAGGTCAGTACACTCACGTCAGCAATTACTGCACACATTTTTCAACCATAATAGTGAATAATTCGTCCTCTGGTTTAAACTGGAAACTGACCCTGGTTATCAATGTCTTTATATTGCAGAAAGAAACTGAAAATGTTGGAGAAGTTTAACTAGTTATACAGTGTGTATGCAAAGATGAAGTCAATAATTAAAGGTTTCAACTGTCTATAGATATAGACCTTTACATACATTCAAAAGTAAATGTCACACTTCAGAGACAAATTGCCCATGAGACAGACATGGTGAAGATGGTGGAGTGAAAAGAAGGGCCAACAGTGGACATTAGCACATGGTAGCAGATTGTCTCCGGCAACTGCAACACAAGGATTGTTGGTAGCATCTTTTGGGAAATGGGCAATGAGCATTTTGAAGCTAAAGCTTTCTTGCCTGCCTTTTCCACTGCCTTTCAGCTCAACTGAGGATCATGGCTCCTTTTCTTCTTTGGAGGCTCTGGTAAGGCCAGACGTCACCCAGGAATCTCTCTCCTCTGAGGCCTCGTCTGTGGAGAGAGAATCCGTACCGGGTGTCATAAAGAGCCGGGCGCGTGAACGCAGACGAGAAGGCCGCTCTAAGACCTTTGACTGGGCAGAGTTCAGGCCCATCGCTCAGGCTCTGGCTCAGCAGCGAGCACAGGAGGCTGAGAGCCTCCAGGCGGACCTGGGAGAGCTCGAGCGCAGTCGGAGAAGAGAGGAGAGGCGGAAGAGGTATGAGTCTGTGACCAGCTCATCGGCAGGGGATATATCCGTTAAAGAAGGAGGGAGGACAGACTGTGAGAGTGGAGAGGGAGCCGGACGACCCCATTCACCAGGTCCCGTGTCTTTGGAGACGCAGCAGAGGGTGGAGGAGGTGATTGAACAACACTGGCAACAGGTGGAGAAGACACCCATACGGGAGGAGAGGAGGGTACCTTTGCCCACCACAGTGCAATCCGGAGAGACTGCAGAGCTGGAGCGGCTACTAGAGAATTACAAGCAAGGGGTATGTTTACTCATTATGTGTAGTGGGTTTTCTCCCTGTCTATTCAGTGCATGTCAGATTTAGTAAGTACACACAGCACGTTGCAAACCAGAGGAAGAATAAGCAGAACAGGAAATTATATTAAATCCTGTCCCATGATTGTGCCACATAACATTTTTATTGTATGTTCAATAAGGCTGCAGCTAACTTATCTCTGTCAGTTATTTTCAATATTGTTTGTCTATAAAATTAAAATTGTGAGAAATGCTTATCTGTTTCCCAGAGCCCAAAGTGACCCCTTCAAATTGCTTCTTCTGTGCAAACAGCAGTCCAAAACCCAAAGACTCTTACTTTCCTATCATAAATGACAAAGAAAAGCAGCAAATCCTTTTAAAAATTTAGAAGCTCATGTTTGACATATTTGCTTGAAAAACGATCCTTGTTCCTCTTCAGAGAGCGCGTGTGAGTGTGTTTAGGTGCTGAAATAACATTTAGCCCATTTTAGCCGTTTCATTTGGGCTAAATTCCTTCATCAGGGCGGCACATTGGGTGGGTTCCAGCCGGTAATGTGATTTCCGACTGTAAAGTATTAAAACAAAACAAATACATTGAATTCAATTTAATCAATTCATCTTGGGCTTAGTGATGTGAAGAAAATATGTAACGGTGATTTCTCTGATCAATATTGTGACTGTTAATTTCAAAAGTACAGGTTTGTACTTGTGGTCTACGTTGAATCACAAAATGCAAATTATTATCGTATGAAGAATAATACCATATTTATCTTGTTTCTGCATGGACAAAATCTGATAAAATAATGCTGCTACTAATTTTTTTTTAGGCATTTAACTGTACGTAAACGTGCCTGGTATTCACTAGATCATAATAATATGGTGCTAACTAAGTTTCTGACAACCTTCAGCTATTTAAGCTATTTTATCAGTTATTTAAGCTATACCTGCTAGCTTCTTCTCTGAAATGAACGGGAGGCAGATTGTTTATGTAAAAAAGAGACTTTCCACTATTTTGGTGTTTCAAGAACGGCAAAAAGACACAGCCCATTCCTTATTATTACAAACATCAAACTGATGGATAATGGTGTTTCTTTAACCATAAACAGATTTGGCAAAATACATAAACAGAGTTTCAGTTTTATAGGTACCCGAACTCACCAAAGGAAAACTATTTATACTATACTATTTAACAGCTGACTACATTTCCCAACATAAGTTTGTCAACCTAAACTTTGCCTTTGCTATAGGTTGTTAAGACACTGCTAATAATGTGAGTCATAGCCTGATTAAAATCTCCTATGATCTGAAAAATGCTCTCAATCAAATCAAATTGTGACAGCAAGCCTATTGATTGTTTAGGCCTAAAACACACCAGTGGCTGAACAGAAACCATTTCATAACACACATTTTAACTGTTCCAAACGTTCTCCCTGGCCCTGCTGCAGATAGAGGACCTGAAGGCACAGTTGGAGAGCTGTCACCAGCAGCTCCTCGACTCAAACAAGCACAAACAGGAGCTGGAGCTCCAGCTGAGAACGGCACTGGCAAGAGAGCAGGACGTCCGGACAGGTTACATCTCTCCGGTGAGTCTCTGTGTATTCAGTGTGCAGCTGCATTGTTGCACTGTATGTTATTCTGCTATGGTGGGAAAACCTGTTGTAGATTTCATGCATATATTGTCAATTGAGCTACATTCTCTCCTCCTTTTTTTTTTTAACATTCTTTGCATGTTTTTTTGTATTTTATTGTAAGAAAACATCAAACAAACTGACATCAAAGCAACAAAATGGCTACAGATATGTGCCTTTGCATGGGTTCATTGCATGTAAAAAAAAACAAAAAAAACATTGAGATCTTATTACTACATTGGCTTCTACTAGTTAATCTCCTGTCTCTGTGTTATAGGTCTGTACTGTATCTGAACTCATGCTGTCGGTTACTTTAGTGTTGTGTTGATTGTGGACCAAGGAACACAAGAGTTGCGGTTGCTTATGTGGCTTTCTAAGGATTATTTCACTCTAAATGAAAAAGCGAGGAATATGTAAATAAATTAAATAAACTCAACTGCAAGAATTTTTTCACTTCAACTGAGCAATATTTTGATAAAGGCTTTTTTAATTTCTAGCGCGGATGTGGATGGAATCGCACCTTTTGTCATCTTCTAATCAACCATGCCCCATCATTTACATACTGTTCAAAATATGAAAATTAAAATGGAAGAGTGAATTTTGTACTAGAGGCCAATTTCCATTTATATTTTTATAATTTTCCATTGACATTTTCAGATTTTAATGTTTTTCTAATTTAGGTTCTTATATTTATTCATTTTTTAAATAAATTTTTGACAATATCAATTTCAGACATTCTTGGTAATCCTAAATTATAGCCTGATTCTTTCTAGTACTGGACTAAACATAGTGATATTATCCTCCACCGGTCACTGCCACAGTAGCTCTACTTGCTGAAATGTTTGGCTCAACATGTATGAATAATAACCCCTTGGCTTGTTTTCTAAATGTTTGCATGGACATCAAACTCATCTTCTATTAACTGCTATACAGACCATCCATTTGTTGTTCTGTTAACAAACGTTGTAGATGGCTATGTAATGGCAAAAATGTGTGATGCTGGATGAATTTCTGAACTTATATGTTGGTGTATGGATGGATTTCCCAGACTAAGGCTGAATGATTAAGCTACTTTTCTAGATTATTCAGTTTGATTATGGTTGAATTTAAGTTTGGCACTGCTGCGATATTTCGATTTTAGTGTATGCAGTTTTTGTGTTGCTTTTTGTTTTTGAAAAAGAACACTTAAGTGACTTGCAGTGAATTATGGAGAAAGTTTAAATTTGAACTTTAGATTTTAGTTGGATAATTCTGTTCACTATCTCCACTCAGAAAAGAATTGCTTTGGTGCAAGACATGAGCTTGGACCAGAGAACCTCAGAAATGTGTTTGTAGGACCTGGTATTCCTTCATCCTTGAGTAAACCATCTAGCTGAAACTAATATTGCATTACTTACCACATGAAGTAACTTTAACCCATTTAATGTGCATGATATGTTGTGATTAACTAACCCTGGCCATTTAATCCCTTTCCTTTGCTTTGACACCATTAAAACCTAAGGGAATTTGAATTTGTTTTGAAGCACTGTTAATTTACATTATTTGGGATTATCATGTGGGAAAGATAATTGTAATGTCACTTGTCGAAATTAGAGCAAAATAATTGGTAGTTAACGCTGAAAATTGTTAGCAAGCTTTGTATCTCCCCTGCTGTGTGTTAATCAAATGTCTGGTCCCCTTTTCCAAGCTGGAGCACCCTTTGGGTCTGGAGGCTGATGTGATGCCCCAGACGAAGAGGCCTGAACTGGTTAGTTCTCAAGCGCAGAGTTTAACAAAGAAGTACCAGGAGACCAAAGAGCTCCTGAAGCAGCAAGAGCTGAAAAAGCGTAACATGCAGGCACAGCTTGGCCTCTCGCTTTCTCACCTCCCCGTCAAGGAACCTTACTTTTCCGAACCCCTAAAACCATCCATTCTGGAAAGCCCTCCCCCTGAACCTGTGAAAAAAACTGTTAGCTTCTTGCTTCAAGACAGCACAGAGGCAATTCAAGAACTCGAAGACTTGATAACTGATAAACCTATGACCCTAAAGGAGCTTGAACAGTTGTTGAGATCCCATAGTTGTAATCAAGAGAGAGCAGAGAAACATCAACTTCAGAAGCTCTTGGAGACCTGGAAGTACCAGCAGGAGGTAGAAAATGAAACATTAAAAAAGAGTTTAGCCATGGCAGGAAAATGCATTCGTGAATACGAAGCCCGTCTTCTAACCATGGAGGATTTGGTGGGGAAGGTTCAGAAGCAAAGTTTTGAAAGCCTGAAAAGCCCCTACGGCCCCCTCTCAGAAATTGAAAACCATTCAGAGACAAACGATATGTCGATTGGGTTGCTCTCTCAGAGGGTTGAACTTTTAACTAGTGAAAATGGGGCATTGAAACAACGATGCCAGGAGATAGTTAACCAGCTGACTGAAGCTGACAGAGAAATAGATAGACTGAAGGCCGAGCTGATCAGCCAGCAGGGCGGCAAACAGCATCATCTGGTCATGGAGGAGCTGAAAAGACTGAAGGCTGAACTGGCTGAAAACCAGGCGATTGCTATAGATAGGGAGTATTACGAAAGAGAGCTGAATGAGAAATCCTTGAGACTTCATGAAGCGCTGGTTACGTTGGAGGAGCTTGGTAACACCCTAAAAGACACTGAGAAGAAGCTGCAGTTGAAAGAGGCCACACTGAAAGGTCTGGGCTTTCGAGCAGATTATGAGGATGAGGAGTTACACCTGGAGAGAGAGCAACTCAAAGAGCTACTTGAAGCCTCACAAGCAAAGTTATTTGAGATGGAGGCCAACTTTCAGTGTGCAGAGCAGCGCTGTTCGGAACTTGAAGCCAGGAACCAGGAATCTGAGAAAGACAGTAGAGAGAAGCTAAGAGAAGCAGAAAACGAACTAAGAATGCTACGAGAGAAGTTAGAAATGACAACAGGTAGAGTTGAAAAGACAGTTAGCGAGTGTGTTGAAGCAGGAGACAAGCAGGTTGAAGATAAAGGACTTATAAAGCAAGTAGTAGGAGAGCTTGAGATGAAGTGTGAGGCGATGAATCAGGTTTTAGAGATGTTAGCAAAGGTAGATGTTAATGTAGAGAAAATGCTCAGTGATTTAAAAGGCGCTTTATTCAGTTCTTCGAAAGAAGAGCCACTCTGTTTGAGTCAGAAAGACATGAGTTTGGTGATAGAGGGAGAGTTCTGGATCCAGCTGTTGGGTACATCCAAAATAAAACCAGAGGAAGACGGACACAGCTGTGAAAGAGGTGTTGCAGAACAGATGTTGGCACAGAAAAGATTGATGCTCCTGATTAGGAGGAATTGTCCACAAGCAAAAGTTGAGAGTGAGGTAGTGGCAGAGCCAGATTTTGCAGCCATGTACAGATGGCTTGATAATGAAACAAGCGCTCTGATTCTTAAAGAGTTAACAAAGACCTTGAAGGCAAAGTCAAATGTTTTGAAGCAGATTGCTTCCAGTGTGAAGTTGGCCAAAGATGACAAGCTTCTGTCTTTGGCTGAAGCGAGCTTTGATTTTGGTCGAGAACAGAAACCGTTCTCTGAATATCTGTTTGATGCCCTTAAAGAAGCCTACGTATCGTATGTGATCATGAGGCTGGAAGTCCAACACGAGAGAGAAAATCAGACTGAAGGTCAGAATGGCAGCTTAGATTGTTCAAATTGTCCTATATTGAGAGAAGCTACCAGAGATCTCAAGTCCAAGCTGGCAGATCTTCAGAGTCAACTATCTTCTTTGAAAACCGCCACAGGGTCACAAACTTTGATCCAGATCGAAGGAGAGCCCATAGACTCATTGGATAAATACAATGAGCTTCATGACATGACAGCCATGCATAGGAAGGAACTAAGAGAGGTCAAAGACAGCTATGAGCAGGAAGCTGAAAAGTTGAGGCAGGAAATCGCTATGGCCAGCGAGACACTGCATCTGCGTTCGGAAGAAAATGTGAGAGAGATCGACTCACTGACAAAATGCATGGAGAACCTGAAGAAGCAGCACGAGATGGAGATGGCAAACCTCGTGGAGAGGTTTGACCGGGAAATGGAAGAGCTGAGAAGCATGATGAGTCCGGCAAACCCCGACGAGAACTCGACAGACGAGGACAGGCCGTCGCATCATGCCTCGGCCCCTACATCCACCCTGAAGGAGCGCATTCAAGAGCTGGTGACGCAAGTTTCAGTCATGACCGAAGAGATGAGACGGCGCGAAGAGCAGGGAGACATCACGACTCTGCGGCTGAAATACGAGAAAGACCTGGAAAACCTGAAGGTGGAAGCGCTCCTTGTCCTTGTCGTCGTCCATCTGTGATGCCTTGTGTTCTTTGTGGCATTCCCAGATCCCCCTTCCTTCCCCAACCCCTACTCCCCTTCCTTACCCCATTCACCCGGCTCTTTGTTCTGTAAACCACTTTTCTTCTGTGTTGCATGAAAACTAACCTTACTGTTGGTTTATGAGATCAGCTGCAGTAGTTGTGTACTGAGGAACCCATTTTGTTGAAGTTGCATCACCATCAGTTGGAGTAACTTTGAGTAATTGGAATTAGAATAGCCTTGGCAAAAAAATTTGATTGTTTCATGCTACCACCTTAACTCTTGTCCTCTGAAATGAGTTCCTCTGGCTGTAGTTTAATGTGCTTACTAACCTAACCCCCTGACTCAGCTGTGCAGCATTTTACATTGTTATAGGTGAAGAGTTGACCCTTTTTAACACTTTTGAACTTATGAATATTTCCAATTAAAATAGCCAATTATCATTTCAAATGATTCTGCTATGAGCTCAATTTGTATGGGTCTGATCTCTTTTCCTTTAGCTGTTCCTACTAACAGTTTAATTTTAGTTTCTACTTTCTCTTTCTAACATTTTAACTCAAGGTCTACTTACTGGAGCTCTCATCTGCATCCCGCAGTCGTCAGCAGCAAATGGAGTTGTTGGCTCAGTTGTGATGACGTGACCCCAAACATGATCTTTGGTTAAGGGTTAAGAAGTGGAGATAAAAAAAAATATATATATATATATATATATATATATGCCAATAACTTCATTTGCTGGATATGATATGTGGTCTAAAGCTCTGGAGAAAAGCTAGTAAGCAGGTTTTGATTGATTTTTGTTTTGTTGGCTACTAGTCACAAGGTCAAGAATAAACTGTAGTTTATGTAGTTTAGGATTTGTATTTCTTGTCGTGGCAGTCAGTTCACCCAACTGCCTAAAATATATAATAAATACCCAAATGGTATTTTGCTAAGCAGATAGTTTTGGTTTTATTTGTGGAGGTGTACCCAACACAATGGAGGTGAAATTAATCAAACCAGCAAAAAAATAAAACTCAATTGAAATGTCTCTTTCCAATAACAACATCTTGATTTCTCTATGATACTCCACAGCCCTGGCTATGGTATGGTAAAACAGTGTTCATAGCATTGTTGTTTCTGGAATAGCTTGTTACTGTTGACAGTTTTAATGCTTTGTGTGCCACAGATGATATTATATTGTCATGACATTTTATTGGGGTAGTTCAAGTCAAGTTTATTTATAAAGCACCAAAGTGCTGGACAAGTTATACAGAAGAAGACGTAAAAAATAAAAACAGATAAAATTAAAACAGGCCAAACAATTAATGACATACAGCAATAAGATAGAAAAATGACAGTTAGATACAAAATAGATAAATAAAGACACAAGCGCAGGTGCCCCTAAACAGAATAGTTGTGGACATTCCAGAAGTGTGCATCTCATAACCTCTGCAAACTAAAACTGCATCTGCACGGCTAGACTCCACAAGGAAAACACTGAACCAACTTAGACTTTTAGTTTAAAATGTTTATTAGCTTATTTTTTGCATTAAAGGGTAAGGCTGGTGTTGTTCTCAATTTTCTTACTGTCAACAACTCTCTTGAAAAGACCAAAAGCAGCAACTTTCTCACTTCCTCACCCTGTCTGTGGCTATTTGCCCCAAGCCCAATGGTTTGGGGCAAAAATGGGCAAAACTGATTATAAAAATATATATATATAGTTTAATTTCTAAAAAGTCAGATTAATTCCTTTAAAACCACTAGGAACTGTTTTTAACAAATGTTACTGAAACAGGAGGAAATAGTACGTTGTTTGGGACCATTTTCAGCCGCAGATCAAAATTCATTTAGCAGCCTTGTGAGTATTTTACGCATCGGGATAGTGTATGTTAGCTTGACTCAAAATAAACTCCAATGTGTGCTTGTGCTCATGGTAGTGATGGAACATGTCAGCCAGTGCAACAGTGTGGCTCAAAGATGGGATTTTTTGGAACTTTAGTAGTCTTAGTCTTTGGATACACACATGCTGCTTATCAGAAGGATTCATGGGATTTGTTGACAGTAAGAAAAATATAGAATATCTCCAGCATTGTGCTTTTTAAATAAAAGTTTTATTACTAATTTGGAAGGTGTCCAAGAATTCAGTTCAATCTTTGACTTTCTTTTGGAAAGTGGGTTGTACTTGTGGTAGAGTGAACGTGTGTTGGATGCTCAGATTGTCTGCTTATGTCTTAGCGAACTAAATACTCAGTGCTGTGTCTGAGTAGTGAGTCCATGCCCCCGTCATGATCTATGATATATTTACACACAAGATACATAACTTGCTTCTGAATAAAGCTGGTGTCCGAGCAGGAAGTTTACATTTGCTCTTTGGGGAGGGGGGTTAGCTTTAGCTCTAAGGGGGTTTTATCCCTGTAAAAACACACTGGACCTCCATTTCCTCTGTTTGGCTGGAGTTAAACTGAGTCAGAGAGAGGGGCGCAGGCCACGGCCCAGCCATCGACTGAGTCCTCAGATTAGTGGCACTGAATAGAGGACGGAAGCAGGACGAGGTTTTTAGTTGGGCTGGTGGAAAAGCCATTGAAATCCCCTCTTGTGGAAACTTGCACTGTAGTTAAAATAGCAGTGAAGTGGCTCTTTCTAAATATTACCACCACATATTTACCTGCAGTGTCTCAGACGCCCAGCTATTCATGATTGTATTTGGCTATAAGCTTAACCCTACATTCCATCAAAGATTTGGCCCATAGGCAGATTAGGATTTGCACATTAGCTGCAGACTAGAGCCACTATTGAACAACATGAGCCCAGTTTGGAGTCAGGCTTTTATAAGCATCAGTGGATGTTTTGCTATGGATAGGAAAGGACGGCATATGCTTTCTTGCACCCTCGTCTCTCGTCGTCTGTGCATTCCTTCACTGTACTGCGTATCCTGTCATTCCTCTTAACCCTTCTTGTACTCACACAGGCTCAACTTGCTCATGGTTAACAGGCTGTAGCTTGCAAGTTATTTGATGGAAATAAATGCCGATGATGATCTGCACTGGCGTATACTTTATGGTCCAGGGGTTTTTCCTGCTCAGTTTCTATGATCAGGGGGGACCCCTTGGCCCATGTCCAGGTGACCCATGGACTCACAGTTGTATAATTTTTTCTTGTCTCATAGGCCACCTGTGAGAGGGGCTTTGCTGCCATGGAGGAGTCTCATCAGAAGGTGATAGATGAGCTGCAGAGGAAACACCAGAGAGAGCTGGAGAACCTGCAGGAGGAGAAAGAGCGACTGTTGGCAGAGGAGACGGCAGCCACTATCGCTGGTAAAATGGCATCCTCTATCAAAGAATCTTTGACCTGACAAAATAAAAGTCTCTCTTTAAACATGTTAGATTTCTCCAGAAACCAGAGAAAGCACAGAGCTGTTGTTTGTGTCATATGTTTAGCTTAACCTACATTAATAATAATACAGTTACAGAACAAAGTATAAATGTTCCACTCTAATAAAGCCTTTTTGTCTGTTTCTTTAGCAATTGAAGCAATGAAAAACGCCCACCGGACAGAGTTGGAGAAGGAGCTGGACAAGGCTCGCAAGGCCAACAACAACACAGAAAATGCAGACATAGAGGAGATCCGCAGACAGCATGAGTAAGATGCAGAATGGTCTTTAGAACCAGGCTGATGTTAACCAAGGACCTCTAAATTTGAATTTGCTCTGACAGTATAGCTCTATATTCATTAAAATTGTGTTTAATCACAGTAAATGACAGACTTTGGCTGATGTGAGACGTCCGTGTTTGTTTTCAGTGCCTGACAGTATTATTAAGCACCATGTCGGGTATATCAGTTCTTTCAGAAAGGTTTCCCAGACTTGGTTTCCCACTTGTAACTACATCTTGGATGTTGACATGACCACTCCTATATGACATGAACGTAACATAATCCTAAACTACATTGTAGAATTGACGTCATTCTGCTCATTTTTGGTTTCCCATGATGCCTCACTTTGGTGTCAGCGTGGCCTTTTCATGTTATCGATGGACCCACACTCTGAAATGTCAGTTCTTTCTGTGCTTTTTAAGACTATTCTGACTGTGCTTGATTAAACAAGGTTTTATTTGATCTGGGTACTAATAAAGTGCAGATGTATCAGATTTTGCAGCTGTCGCTCAAGACTTGCTGGGACATGTGTTGAGATACTGTGTTCAGGCTCACCTGCCTGTCTTCAGCATGCTGTAACACTGAACTTGGTGACGTGTGGAAGTGCAGGTGTTGACAGTAAATCAAATTGCACATTTCATTATAGGACCAGTGTGTAAGATTTAGTGACATCTACTGGTGAGGTTGCAGATTACAACCAACTGAACACCCCTAGCCTCACCCTCCCCTTCCAAGCCTGGAGGAGAACCTAAGCTGGCCGCGAAATACGCAAAGGCCCTCTAGAGAGTGTTTGGGTTGTTTGTTTTTGGTTTACTCCTGATCCCAGGCTGGTGGTATTAGATTTTCTCTCAGTGTAGGATTGTGTTATGTTTCAGGGAGGAGCTGTGTTCGTTCCAGCGGGAGATCGAGGTGTTGTCGGAGCAGTATTCCCAGAAGTGCCTAGAAAACGCCCACCTGGCCCAGGCGCTGGAGGCCGAGAGGCAGGCCCTCAGGCAGTGTCAGAGAGAGAACCAGGAGCTCAATGCACACAACCAGGTGCAGACACACACTGTAATACACAATCACTGGTACACACCTGTTCTGCTAGACTCTTCTAAGCTTCTGCTTTGTGGCACGTCCAGCTCTGCATATTCTGCGTCTGATTCAGTACATTGACAGCAATGGAAAAACCGGAGTCAAATTCCTTGTATGTATACATATACTTTGCCAATAAAGCTAACTCTGATTTGTTTGTAGGAGCTGAACAACCGTCTCGCAGCAGAGATCACAAAGATGCGCTCTATGACGTCTGAGGACGGAGTAGGAGACACAAACACCACAATACAGGGGAAAGAGCTCTATGAGTTAGAGGTAAGGTTCAAGCAAAAGATCAAAGCAATAACTTATAAAAAGTTCAGAAAATCAAGTCTGGACTAGTGAGCTTTCAGATAGCAGCTGGTGCTCCTAAGGCAGGTTCTTACAAAAGGGCTGCTTCACTTTCTTTCTTTTTTTTCATTTTCCAGGTGATGCTAAGGGTGAAGGAGTCAGAGGTCCAGTACCTGAAGCAGGAAATCAACTCCCTGAAAGAGGAACTCCAATCTGCCCAAAGAGTATGTGCCCCCCCCCCTTTTTTAGGTTATCACTTGGAAGCCCTTTTAACTGGGGCCATCCATGAATGTGTAGCTGAGTGACAATATGAATAACTTTTATCTGACACAAACACTGTATTTCCAGGACAAGAAATATGCAACAGATAAGTACAAGGACATTTACACAGAGCTGAGCATCGTTAAGGCCAAAGCAGAGCGGGATCTGGGCCGGCTCAGAGACCAGCTGCAGCTGGCTCACGAGGCACTCGGGGAGCCGTCGCTGGAGGAGGTGGAGCGGGGAGGTTATGGTATGATCAAATAGAAACACAGTGGACCTCATGCAAGAACAAGTTTGTGTTCTTATCCTAAAACTTTCTAAACTGCACAAACATGTAGTATATCAGATTATTTTCATGAGGAGGTGTGCATTGGAGAGATGTGTTAATAAGCATTATTATTCTTTTTTTTGTTTTGTTTTGTTGGTTGAATTTATTTTGGGGGGATTTTAAGCCTTTATTAGATAGCGATAGTGGAGAGATGACAGGAAATGAGGGAGGAAACGACAACAACAAAGGTCCTTAGCTGGTTTCAATGTGCAGGCGTTGCCGTTCATGGTCATCTCTAAGCACCAAGGAAGCTCCCATGGCAATATATCATTCAAGTCAAACAAGTGCACCCCCCCGTGGTAACGGCAGACTATCTGCACAGTTGTGGACCGCAATTTAGTTTGTGTGCAAAAGAAGATGCGTGAATTTCACAAGCTCTCTAAAATCACTCATGATAATGAATCTGTTAGTTTGTGTGGTTCTTGCATGTCGGCCGTTGCATGTCAGCTAAATTAGCATTCAGTACAACCGAGGACTGTTTTTCCTCCTTTATTTAATATCTTTAACCTTTTCCCTCATAGATATCATGAAGTCCAAAAGCAACCCTGACATCCTCAAGATGGCGGCTGCTGCAGCCAAACGCTCAGAGCGCACCATGAGGTCAAAGGTGGGTCTCCTGTTAATTGGCCAGTCCTTCATCCCTGGTGTGTTTTTTCAGGATTTTTCATGGAACTGTATCCCCCGTTGTGTCATATTGCCTAATCAGCAATTTTTTTAAATTTTATTTAACCCTTATTTAACCAGGTGAGTCTTATTGACATTAAAATCTCTTTTGCAAGAGAGACCTGGCCAAGAAGCAACATAAAAGAACATACATAAGTTTTAAACAGGACAGCAGTTTCACATACATAAATACACACATGCGTCTTAGTTCGCTGAAAAAGGCAAAATACAATTTTACAAACAAAGACACTGACCAGTATCCACCTGCTCCATATCCTTCAGAATTGAAACAAAACTGTCTACAAGAGATAAGGAGTCAGTTTCAATGAGAATTAGTTTCAAGTGACTTACTGCCATCTACTGGACACCTGCCAAGTTTCATGTAACATTGCATGCCTGCTGTTTATTACTGGCAGTGTTCCAGCTGGGCTGCAATTTCTTTATCCATTTTGTGACTCCCATCAAAACAGTGGTCTTGGGATTGTGATGCAAATTAAACACCAGAGTAGTCTAACGCGCACTTGCTGGTGTGTTTTCCCCCTTCTGTCCTCAGTCTGTGAGTCGTGACATGCCCTGGGACAGTTAGGGCTGCTGAGGACGTGTAGGCCTCCTTCCCATTCTCCTTTTAGGTAAACCAGACGCACCCACGGGTGGTTTAAGCACATCCTCTTGTCCTCCACCTCTAAAGCACTCAATAGATCTGAGTCACTACTTCACATTAATATCCATAAATATCCCACTCTACAGACGCATGATGGTGAAGAACAAATGACGTCACTGTCTGAGATGTCACTGGGGTTTTTTAAATAACTGATCTGTGTGTCTTTCACATTAATGGTCAGATTTTGTGAATGAGTTGTTTACAGACATCAGTCGAGAGTGATATATAACTGACTACACCTATCAATAGTGCTGTTAGTGTAAAAATAAATATAAAGCTTTAGATATTCCCTTAACCTCCATTCAATTGATTGACAATTTTAAAACTATTTTAATCTCAAGCTAGCTTTTTTTGTCTTAACACATATTTAATCATTAATCTATTATTTATTTTCCCCACGCAACATCTACCATTTTTCATTTCATTTCAGTTTTCATTATGCTTATTTGTTAATGTCCAGCACAGGGATTGGTCCACAGTGGGTGTTTGGGAATACAGACTGTTGCGATGTGGCTAACTTGTAGCTAGCACATAGAGCCCCAGCCTTTTTTAGTTGGCAAAAAACTACCGTGCAGGTGATGTTGATCATTCATATACTCTGCACTGCTGTAGCATCACTGTATAAACGCTTGTAACAGTAGCTAGGACTTTTTAGCCAGCGAGCTAACACTAACTCTCTGTCTTTAGTTGGGTTTGACAAAGGAAACATTAAATCACAGCTCCAAAATGTCAACGATGACACCATGAAGTGAAAGACATATCGGGGTGCTCAAAGTTTCAAAGTATCAAAGTGATTTGGCTACGGTTACAAGAGTTTATACATGATATATCAATATAATTTACAAAATATGATCAGTCCATTATATATGGAAAATTAACAGTACCTGTAATGGTAGAGTTAGGTTGAAAGTTAACTGCAGCTCAATCGCTAGCTGAAAGAGCAGTGCTCTGTGTTAGTTACTAGTGTTTACTCCTATCCTTGACCTTTACTATCCTGGACACACTTGACTGTTATATATGCAAAAGGAAAACTGTGGTGAGGAAAATGTGAAAATTTGCTTTAGGGAAATAGAGATGGTTAGATAACTAAAATGAGCTAGTTAAAGATAAATGGGAAAGTAAAATAAACTGTAAAATGATTGGATATTAAAGGAAAACCATACATAAATGTATATTTCTTTTTACGCACAACTTTAATGATTGAACTAACTGTATTATTTATTGGTGTATTCAGTTGTATTTTTGACTCCTAATAACCTTTTACTGCCTTTTCTCAGTTTCGGGGCTCTATATCACACAGAGCGTAGAAGGGTCTGCATGAACTGTAATGTGGTGTGTGGGCTCTCATGATTCCCTTTTTAAATATTTCATCACTGGGTGACAAGAAATTTACACTGACTGGAAACACTGCCTGCTCAGGAACAGCACACCTGTCCAGATAAGGTTCTGTTTATCGTAGTCATTATTAACATGTCCTTTTTCTCTCTTCATCCCTCCAGAGTCTAAAGGAAGGGCTGACAGCTGAGCAGAGACTCCACCTGTTTGAAAATAAAGACACTAAGGAGTTCTGACAGTGTCATGTCATCTACCTTGCTGCATGTTTAGAAGCCCACTATATTTTAGCTCTGTAATTACTTATTTAGTAACACTACACACTGGTCACAAAACACAGATCATATTAAAAAAACATGGTATGAAGTTTGAATTTCATGTCTAGATTTTGCATTCCATGCACTTCAGTTAACTGTGACTATTTTTTGTATCGTTTATTTTTTGCTGCCATGTCTTATTGTAAATACTGTTTTTAATTAAGCATATGTCATGCATACACTAAAACTATGACTGTGTAAGCTACTGTTTTAACTCCCTAGACTGTTGCTAGCCAAAAGCATAAATGTGATGTTTTATGGCTAAATACAACTACATATTGATGAGTGAGTAATACTTGCATTTAAAAAAAAAAAAACAACAACATAGGAATGAGTCTGGCATTCAGGTCTGCACGTTGACGCTCCACCACTCTGTTATCATTCCAGCACAAATGGAAATGTTACTCAGTAAACAAGCTATGAAACAAAAGTGCTTGTCCGCATTAGAAAACAAACCCCTACCATGTTACTTCATCGCCTCACTTCTAAACTAACATCATAGATGTTCTCTGCAATCCTTGGATCAATCGGAGATGCCAGTGGAAAGGCAACAGCCGAATGCACATGGATGGGATTCACTGATTATAATTTAAATATATATATGAAAATTTATATAGTTTTTTTTTTTCTCACTGCAATCATCGGTCCAGCTGTAGAGGAGCTGTTGGAGTTGGTTATGTTTGTAGTCTTGTTCAGTGGCAGTCCCTTTGTATTTATTGAAATGGTTGGGATTTTTCTTTCACATTCCCATTCCTCTGTACTCTATTATTGTAAATATAAAAGCAAATATACACCAACTGACTACAGGTTTATTAGCAATAAATATTTTTGCACCCTTTTTGTTGTGTGACTGCTTTGAAATGTTTGTGTGCTTTTAAAAACACAGTAAACAAATATAAATAACACAAGAAAGTGATGGCAGTTCAGTTTGTAATTGATTTGCTATAGAGCACAAATATCGACCCTAAGACGGCATGGAGCTCATTGTTTAAATGCTACACCAACTGTTGCCTCTCTGAAGTGAACTGTCGCATAAAATGCATCACGTGTTGTGACTTCACCGCAACAAATGTGCATCTACAGGGCCATGCTAATAATCAATTACAGTCAGTGTGTTTAGTTGATTGCATTTCATGTGAGTGTTTTTATTTTTTAATCTTACTGTCACTGGAGAAAGACATTCTGCACACTGCAGTTTTATGCTAAATAGTATGCGCATTTGTGCCAGTTTAAGTGTCCTTGAGCAAGATACTGAAACCCCTGTTTTTGATGAGCTGTTGGCACCTTACCCTCTGCCGAAAATGTGTATGTATGGGTGAATGTGATGTTGCGTAAAAGCAGAGTGGTTTTAAGATAAATGATAGAAAGGCACTATGCAAGTACATACCATTCTGATTTGTCTCTAATACTAATGAGGCACAACAAATAAGCATCATCAAGTGATCCTTGCATGTCAAATAAGATAGTCATCCATAACTGTTAGTGTCTCTCAAAATGTGCAATTACAGTTAATAGTTTTGGTTTTTCACTGGGAAAAAGTTAAAAGGGGGTTTTTATGGTACTCAATGGGGCATTTCAATTTACTGCTCGGTACTGCTTATGCTCGGTTTACTGTTAAATTTATAAGTAGTTTGTATAAAGTTACTTTTGTGTTTACTTAATTTTAGTTTTTAACGGAACTCCCCACCAATTTCTACATATCAAGATCACTTTAAGCTACTTGTCATGGCAAAGTGCCATCATGGGATGTATAGGAACCACTGTTTTTGGAGCCTGGCCCATACTAGGCACTAAAAATCAAGATTTCTCAGCCTCTGCTGCTTCGATGTTGGAAGTTTTTTCCCCCTCTAATATGTCTCTCACAAGTGCCCCAACTTAATGGAAGGGGAATACTAAGTTGCTGAAATAGCCCTTTAATCTCATGTGGCACCTTTATAATTCAAAAAGTACCTTCATTCAAGTTATTAAATAAACTCTAAAAGACAATGACACCAAATACTCTTTGAGGCTCAATAAGTTGGAGTGGAACAGGTCTTACCACTTTGCTCCCATAATGCCTCTGTTCCACAGCTGAGTGACAACTCTTTCATTGGTGAGGGATGGCTGAGGGTTTCACTTGTCAAGCCACCCAGAATTAGACAGCCCGCAGCTGAAAGTAATGCCCAGTAATCATGTCACTCCAAGAACAAAGAATAAAGATAGTACCTCATGCCGGGTTGGCTGGCCTGGTTTAAGGTTTCTAAATCTTTGACAGCCCACATGCAACAGTTGGATCAAGGGCCAATTATTATTCTGACTGAACTGAAAAATGCTGCTTTCCTGCTAACCTTTAGAGGAGTTATGTGTTTAGTAATTTCCACACCTTTAATGAATGGTTTAATTGTACTTTTTATTCGTATTATTATGTCAATTAAAAGAAACAAAAACACTGAAAGGCACCACTTATTGTTTTATTGTGAAGGGTGCATCCGGAAGTTTGAGATTATACTCTAAACTTGACATTGCTGCTGCCATCAGAGTAGTGTGTTCCTGGAAAGTGTGAGGATCTTTATTTAATTTGGGGCTTTGTCTCACCGTAGTGTTATTATAATTCGTTAGAGTAGGTGGGCTGTTGAAAGAGATGCAGGGTGGGACGAATTCTTAACTGGACATTTAAAAAGGCAACAATCTTTCCCGTCCGGGTAAGTTTTGGGCAGCGGCGCAGCGCATTAACGTTACCTCCGCTCTGTCTTTGTTTCATACAGCCGGGCCTTGCCCCGGTGCCTGCCGTGCTCTTAATGGAGAGAACGTGTCGCCAAACTCCATGAAAAGTATTGCGCAATTTAATAATGTCTCGTTTATTGTTGATTTTTATTATCTAGTAGAAAGCAAAGCATACTTCTGTGAACCACCAATATCCACTCTTTAATTCGGAATTCGTGTAATACACCAACGAACACGATTTAACGTTGTAAAACAGTTTTTTTCGTTGTTCTAGCAACAAAGTTACGAAGAGGTGTTATTGGGCAATAATGAACAACGCAAACCGCTAATCTATACAAGTTGGCATTTTATCTAAATAAAATTTTATTTAATAACGTTTCGGGGAATTAGACTTCGCCGAAAAGAGGCGTGTTCGCTATCGATCTGCAGAAGTTGTAACTGCACGTTCGGTGGTATATGACTTTCTCTCTTTAAGGAAAATCAGTTTAAGCTGCCAGATATTTAATGTGGTTCGGCTTACAGCGACGTCACTGAAGCTACGCCGGGCCTAGCTAGCTAACGCTAGCTGTGGCTAGGCTAGGCTAAACTAAGAGAAGCTAGTAGCAACTCTGAACTGTCAACGTTGGTGGTGACTAGGCTAGGCTAAATATCGTTAGCAAACCTGACCTGTCAACGTTGATAGCTAAAAAGTCAGCCGACTGTCTGGAAAGACATTATCCAGTGAAACTAACACCTTTTATTTTATAAACATTCAACAATATTATGATAAATTGGAAATAAGCCAAAACGTAAATTGTCAGTCAATCCCACTATGTTCTTCAACGTGAATTAAATTCAAGCACACGTCAGTGCCCATGCTAATGTCAACGTTATGAACAGCCTTGAGGGCTTGTGGTTTAACTTTCTGCTTGAAATTTTAATAAAATGAATGAAAAATAAAATGAAACTTAAAACTGATTGAACAACACAAACAACGTGATGAGGCAAAGTGATGTAGCTTAGTGGTCAGAATTAGTTCCACTATGACCTCGAGGGTTAGCTATTGTGCTCAGTGTATCTACTCTGGTTAGATTAAAAAGAATTGTTGACCAATGGGGGGGGGGGAGTGATGATAAATGATGTTGTTCCTCCTATACACAACTCATAAGTTACATCTCTTTCTTTTCTCCTCTCCATCGATTGCAGTTGTTATGGAGCAGCCACCTGGGAGCTTAGATGATCTACGGCCTCAAGACCTCTCCACCTCCAGCGTCCCCTCAGTGATTGACCTGACAAGGAAAGGCGAGGAATGTGTCGTCAACACCACGTCCCGCGATGCTCTACGGATGGTCAAGAGCCCCGTCTGGTACCCAAACTCTGGGACAAGCAACCCAGGATTACCCTTATCAGAGACCGGCTCCTCGGACATCACACTCCAATCAGGGGATCAAATTCAACCAGACAATGCCTTCTCCCACACTACAGTCACCCTCTCCTACGTGAGCAGGTCTCACGTCTTCACCACTCACGACTCCCTGACTCGGCATTCACCTCTGTACGGTGTGCCGCCTATTAGCAAATTGTCTCTCCACCCTCCTTGTGACTCAGATAAAGGGCTTGGGGAAACTGGCTGTGCGTTCAACCAGCATTGCTTGGAGCAGGTGGAGGGGCCCGTGCACCTCGCCACGGAGACAGAACTTTTCCAGTCTCAGGTGGGACCAGAGAACAATAGGGGACTGCGTCTAACACCGGCGCCTCGTGAGTTAAATGGTGGAGTCATTTCCAGCGATGGCAATGTGGCTAAGCATGTACAAGGTGAAGAGGGACACATCCGCTCTCGGGAAAACAGAAACGGTTTGGAGAATGGTCAGGGTCATGGCTGGTCGAGCGGGGAGGATGAGGAGAGGGGGGGCTCTGAGGTGCTCTTTGTCATGTCTAAGAAACAGGACCCAGTGCTCGACCCGGATAGCGTGGCTGCTATAGACCAGTGTTCACGGAGCAGGGAGTACATCAGTCCTCTGGAGGACCCAGTCTCCCCATCAGCTACCTCACAGGACGATGTGGAGGACGTGTTCATCCTGCCTCAGGCCTCCAGCTCGCCCAGCGGCAACAACTCTTATCTAGAGACAACTGAGGAGGTTGTGTGGGAGGCCCTGAGTACAGAAGGGGCCCTTCAGCCAGGCTCTGGCATTAGAGATAGCGCCACAAGGTTAGATTCAAGCGAAGAAAATAAGCAGCCTGTCCACACAGGGAAGGCAGTGTTGCAGCCTTTGATTGACTTGACAGGTGACGTTTGTGTGTCAGATGTTTCGGAAAACAAACCAAGGACCGTCATTCCTCACATGAACGGCAATGCAAAGGCATTACAGAGAACTTTAACAGAAAAGAAACTGCCAGTGCGTTCCGGCAGAGGGACACGGTTAGAGGCTATAGTTATGAACATAAATTCAAGCAGGTACAAAGTGTCAGGATGCATACGCACCAGTAAGAAAGCAAATGCTCCCAAATCGGCAGCTAGTGATTCTAAGTTAGCCAGTCCTAAGAGGAAGGACACCCTGTCCGTAGGAAAACGGAAAAGCAGAGCGAAGGCGTCTTTCTCAGTTAAAACAATCAAACAAAAAGCAGTAATTCCAATGAAAAGGGGTCAAACTAATAACATTAACACTGACAGTTGCAAAGACTCTACCTCTGATTCTGAAATCAATCATTCTAAAATGTCACACAGCAGCACACCTCCAAAAAGCCCTCAGTCTGCTGTGCACAAAAACTCAAAGAAGGAGCCGGAGCATCTATCTCACCCTGACCCCTCACTGGATCTTCATGCGAAGAGGTCCCCCCCCCCATCACTGCCACCAAAATCTCCAAAGAAAAGCCCGGGCAAAGCCAAAGGCAAGGCAACTGGTAGCAAAACATCTCCTACTGCCAAGACGAAGGGGGTTCGCACTCCCAAGAGGAGGCGAAAGAAACTTCAACAGATCAAGTCGTCCTCCATGTTCTCCCCCAGGGAGCCAGAGATCAAGTTGAGGTACGTCAGTTACAAGGAGGAGAGAAGGGACCCGAGGTTAGACCGTTTCTCTCCATTCGTCCGTGTGGAGTGCCAGCAGTCATCGCCATCACTGTGTACTGTAATCAACTACCCCGAGGAGGTAAGGACACAACACAAGAAGGGCCAGCAGCAGCAGGCTCACCCTGGTGGATTTGTTTCCGCAGTTGTACCCAGCACTTCCTGTCTGCAGCTGGGCCGAGCATCCATGCACAGCCAGCACCAGCGCTATCTGGTCTGCTGCTTGTGCGGGCTGTCTGCCAACGCCATGGACTTGGGGGACCTCCACGGCCCTTATTACCCCGAAGGGTACCAGCTAAGCACCAAAACACCAGCGAGTATGTCGGGCCTCAAAGAGGAAGACTTCAGCGATTCGGACTCTTCGTCCTGCAGTATCAGGGGCAGGGGGAGGAAGGGCGCCATTCCACCTGCACCACGCCACCCCAGGCCAGGAGCTCGGCTAAATGAGAAGGGCCTCACGGGGAGCCACCGGTGGGCCGCTGACTGTACAGGCAGCCCTGCAGCTAAGCGTGCTCGTTCAGACGCGGGCTCTGCCGACGTGGAGGACTGGTACAGCCCCCCTGTGGTACCTCTGGAGCCCTGCGAATACTGGCTCCACGAAGACTGCGGCATCTGGTCCGCAGGCGTGTTCCTTGTGAAGGGCAAAGTGTACGGACTGGAGGAGGCTGTCAAGGTGGCCCAGGAGACGGTAAAGCTGCTCTTTAAGCCTCTAATGCGAATATATTGTTTACACACTTCCACATGCAGATGTGCTTAATATGATGGAGCTGCAAATGAACAAAACATTAAGGAAGATAATGCATTAACAGCCTACCTGTTTACTGACTTGTTTTCTAGGCCTGTAGGATACTAATAGATTTTGGGGGCATAAGGTGTTGTAATGTGTTTATACAAGGACTTGTTATCACATGATAAAACTTCCATTCTTAGCTCACATGCTGCCTGCTGCGAATCGCCAGAGGAAGACAGCAAGACGCTGTTGAAAGCCGGTAGATTTTCACAGGTTTGAGAGGCTGGAATCAGTCAGTTATTGGGCAAAAAATTACTTAAATGATTACTTGATAATTCAAATAGTTCCTGATTAGCTTTCTGCCAATCAGCTAATCATTTAATTACTACTTGCTTCACACTCACCCCACAAGTGTACACAAGCATACAGTGCAAATCACGACAGATCCTTTAAATTTTGCAACACGCTCAGACTCAAATGACCGCTTTCCACACAAAATGTCTTATGCGCAAGCATATCGGGCAAAATTCCAGGACATTTGCCATATTCATGATCCCAGCGGGATAACATGTGTGATTAATTATGGGTACTTCAAGCTGCAGTAGACTTAGTCATGTTTTCCTTTAGTCACCACAGAGTATGCCAGAAGTACTCTTAGTTTGCCGACACGTACTGTGAAGGCTTAAAGGCTTCTCGTGTTTGACATCATAGACTCCTCACTGTTGACAATCCAAAATATTTTCTGCAGCATCTGAAGGGAAGATGTGTGTTTCTTACGAAAGGCATGATTTATAATGTGTGAGTTATACTGGCTGGCTGTCACACTGTCTGTTAAATAGAACTGTTAAATTGTTAAGAGAAAACTTTGAGCCGTGCTCAGCTGATGTTGCTAACATGGACCGTGCTCGGGACAAACGCAGGACATTTCTATGCAACTGTGAAGAACAGATAGTGTTAATAAGGTGTCCACAATTTCTTAAAACACTGAATTAAATTAGCTCACTCCAAGGCCATAAAACTGCATGATCACTAATAAATACAGCCTTCAAGATTTCAAAGGAGCTTCCCTTTTGTGCTGCTTTTCTAGTGAGAACTCGAGTTCTGATCATAAATCAGAACATTTTCTCCTAATTTGTAAATGCTACCTGCAGTATGTAAACAATGAACACTAATAACCCTTATTGCTCCCCTTCTTTTTGTGTTTTTAAGGTTTAACGTACAATATATTGCAGACGGTGCATCTTGTATCGAAGCAGACATCTTCATCGTCTTGACTTGACCCTTTTTTCTGCTGTGTTTTTAGACATGTTCAGCGTGCCGTGAGCCAGGTGCTACACTGGGCTGCTTCTTCAAGTGCTGTCCCAACAAGTACCACTACAGGTGTGCTCTGGAGTCAGGTAAGAGCTGCACTCTGCCCTCCCCCCTCATCTCCACACATCACAAGTAAACAAAGTACAGCTCCTTACCCTTGTATGTGTGTTAACAGGTACAGTGTGCATTGGGATTTTCAACTGGTTTTGTCTTTAATCTTAAAGGGTCAGTTAACCCAATGGATTTTTAGCAGTGTCTTGGTTTTGTTTGTCCAGGTTTAGATTCTGATGATCAACATTGTACCTATCAAACTATTGTTGAATCCACCTGCTGCTGGTGCTTTGTGTGTGTGCTGGTGTGGAAATAGCTCTTTTGTGAAGCGCAGTCAGCTGTTGTCACTTCGCTGAGTCCGAACTTGCCCGTGTAGGCGGCTGAAAGTTTAGGAAGAATCAGTGTTGCGTCTTCAGCTCCTGTTCTCTTCTTGTTCTTGCAGAGTGTGTACTCATTGAAGCAAATTTCTCCATGAAGTGTAAAAAGCACAAGGTGAGCAGAAAGAACTGCACTTTCAAATGTCCCAGACTATTGAAAATGTTCGTGAAGTTTCAGACAATCTAGAGAATTAGGTGTTTCTGCTGTTCTAGAAGGCTTTATTATTAACTAAATATTAACTTCTGTGATTCCTCCCCCCCCAGAACAAGACGTTCAAAGCCCCTCCAGGGAAGCGATGGGATGACAGGTGACAAAGTTAGCAGAAACCTCATGAGGTTAGTAAATACCTGCTCTGATTCAAGTCCCTGCGGCTCTGGAGGAAGTTGTGTCAAGTTTGAGAAAATGACTCATCAGTCTCCAAAGCAAGTGTCAGACTGTTGTCGAAACCCAAGCCAAGTTGGAGACGGCACATTGCTTGCCTTCTAAACTGGGGGCGTGGAGGTCTAATGAAAGATGCAAATGAGTTGCATTACGCTCAGCCCATATTGGGACTAATTTCGATTTAAGCTACGTTGAACATGAACATTGCTGGTGCGACAGGTGGCTAGTGTTTTAAACGGAGCTCTAAGTGAATCGTTTTTGTCAGCACTGATGTGAACACGTTAGCTTTACTTGCCGAGTCTCTGATTTGCTGGTAGTGACCGTGACCTTACAGAAACAACGTACTGTACAGTATCTCACAAAAGTGAGTACACCCCCCACACTTAAATAATATATTTGATTATATCTTTTCACGTGACAACACTGAAGAAATGACACTTTGCTACAATGTAAAGTAGAGTGGACAGCTTGTATAACAGTGTAAATTTGCTGTCCCCTCAAAACAGCCATAAATGTCTAAACTGCTGGCAACAAAAGTGAGTACACCCCTAAGTGAAAATGTCCAAAAAGGGGACCAAAGTGTCAATATTTTGTGTGGCCAGCATTATTTTCCAGCACTGCCTTAACCCTCTTGGGCATGGAGTTCACCAGAGCTTCACAGGTTGCCACTGGAGTCGTCTTCCACTCCTCCATGACAACATTATGGTGGATGTTAGATGTTGTCACGTGAATATATATATATATATATATATATATAAAATCAGATATTTACAAAAATGTGAGGTGTGTTCTCACTCTATATGTGGCACAGATTTGCTTTACAAATCAGCAAGTATTGCCTGTGAGGTGGGGCTTTTCCTCCAGAACAAGAAGAAAATGTGCTCAGATGGATTTCATCACTTTGAAACGTGTTTTTGTTTTTTCATTTATTCATCCAGACGCTCACCTGCAACATCCCGCAGGGGCTCTTCTTCCCAGTCTGCAGGTAACCATGGCGCCCGTGGACCGGGGTTCTTCTGACTGACAGCTAGCACCCGTAAACCTTAACTTCAACCTCTGCTCTTCAACTGCACTGTTAACCCCAGACACTGTGACTGGAGGAGCCCAGACCTCCCTCAGTCCAGTCTGACGGTACTCCTCAGAGACCTGCAGACTGAGGACACCTACTCTCAACTTCACAGAAAGTAACTTGCTGAATTTGTCATTTGTGTTGACTTTGTAGTTATTTATATGGATTTTTATTTTCTCCTGGATTAAATACAAATAACAATCAAAGATATTTAATTTTAAAGATTTTGTAAGTATTTGATTATATTTGGTTTATTTATTACTGGAATTTTCTAATTGGCATCTTTAGCAGTTGTCAAAGAGGTTAGATTGTGTGTTTTTAAGTTATTGCTAAAGCAGTTCAGTGTTGGATTATCAAGCCAGTCATGGAGATACTGGTTTTATTAAAAAGATGGGACAGAGCAAGGGCTGGGCGGTCGAGATAATACACTCTCAGAGGAAAGTACCCGAATGGACGCTGTCAACACAACAGGGTTCCATATTAAACACGACACCTTTTTTTTAATTTTTTATTTGGATTATCATGACACATGGCATTACAGTTTGTTTTACAAAGAGGGGTGCACAAACGCATGTCTCAGCTACAGCCAAACGACACTTGCACTGAATGTTGAGCCTGGTGGTTGTTATGGAGGGGACCGTGTGTTTGAATGTATCCTCCCCATGTGATGGGGTTTTTGCAGGAAGCACTTTGGAGTGGCACTGAACATGTCTGGTCTTGAGCATAACCTTCTTCCCTCGCCGTCGTATTGTTTGGTTCAGGCTCACTCACGTAGCGCTTCGAGATTCACAGGTCATTCTGTGAACTTTAACAAGAGACCCATCTAACCACCAGGATGAGTCCATGTGATTTTATTTGGCTTAAAGCACTTTGGCTCTGCAGAGTTGAAAAGTACACGGGTTGTTTGTCTGCACGGCCCTTAAATCAGTTGGTATAGTAATGGAATTTGAAATCAATTTGAGAGCCCTGTTTAGGGATAATTAATTAAGCAGGCTTAGTTTTTCCTTAGAAGTAAAGGGATTCCTTTCAATGCAAGGCACCTGCTGTTTACTTGGATTTCTCCAGTTGGTGCTGCAATCAATTCTTTCAGTTTCATTTTCTGAATTTTGCAGCACATTATTCACGTCGTTTTAAGTGGACCTCAACAAATCCTCCTTGGGACATAAAGGACTATTCTGCTTCACCAGTGTCACTAAAGTTTAAGAAGGATGTGTGTCTGCAGATTTTTATGCTGACATTGAGAATATTTAGTTTACATCAATATTCATTTCAGTAGGACTGACAGTGCTAGTGTTAAGATTCTGGTAGTGTACTGCGAATGGTGAATTCACACCAGAACCTCTCTGAAAAGGCCTTATCTGACATACAAGAGGTAAACATTTTTTCTAGTTCTCAATCGCTTGTGTTGCAACGACAAATCAGTGGATGTACATCACCTTCCTTTGGACATCCTGATGACTGAAGGCAGCTTGCATGCACTTTTCTGCTGCAAACTCTGTTGTTATCAATACCAGGGGCATGGTAGGCCATTTCCTGAGGAAGCCTCCAACCACGCAGGTAAATACTGACTGTCTGGGACTTGTGTGAACCGTGTATTGAGATTAGTTCCTGGTGTATTAGTACTTGTTGAATCAGGTGATGAGGTCAGGGCTTTGGCCTGTCAGCCTGCCTGTTTGTTTTAGAGAGAAGTCTTTATGTGATCAGTGTTGCTATAACGTCTATGTACTTTCACATAGCGCCATTAGGGGCAGCGTTGTGCAGTCAGAGTGTGAGAGGTTCATTAAGCCATGGCTCCATGGTAACTGATATCCACACAGAGGCAGCCGAAGGACTTTGCTGCTTAGTCTCTCACCAGCAGCAGCAGCAGCAGCAGGATACACACACACACACACACACACACACACACACACACACACACACACACACACACACACACACACACACACACACACACACACACCCAAATCCCCTTATCCTGGAACAACACGTCTGTTTCGTTTGTGCCATCCTTTGTTATGTGTTTTTATGTTTTGTTGCAGTGAAATGATTTTTAACGAGCAGTTGTGTCAGCAAGACTGAAATGTTCATTGCAATGTTTTGTTTTTTTTCAATTACAGGCGGATGTTTGCATTGTACCAAATACAGCTTTTAGAATATGTTTTATTCTTACAAAGTTTGGATTTAAAAAAAAAAAAAATTGTCCGTGTGTTAATCTCAGGGCTGAATCTCAGATATTCAGATTTGAACTTTATTTTTGTTTTCCGGGCACATTGTCTTAACCCCACCCCACATTAACTGGAGTAATGATACATGTAGCAGGACGTGGTTATCTCTACAGATGCAAAGCCTGTCCTTCTACACACTACTCATCACATTCCAACGCCTCCTCCATGTGTCTGTCTGTGCTGTGGTGTTTTTAGGTTTAACATGGGACTAGGACTGCCAACTCGTGTCACTTTCTTCATGGTCTTTATTTTATGGCAACTTTTTGTGCCGTCTTGGTCACCTCTCGGACCATCAGAGGTCGTGTAATTGTCAAAAATAAATATTTTGTTCAACATTGTGGTTTTCTGTACGAGATTTGTGTTTTAGATGGGTTGACATGGTCACCTGATGAAAATATGTAGATTTTATATTGTCATAAAATAGAACTCCCAAATGACCAATATTAAATAAGACAATATGAAAAAATAAAATACATGACTAGTAATGCATGTAAATACATGAACCAATTAATTGTAAAATCATACAGAAGCTTATTAAAACTCCAGCTCAGCTTGTGAAATATTGAATTGTGATAATTTGATTGTAACTGTTTAATGCGGCACTAGCTCATATTTTTTAATTAGCAGTCTGATTGATTAACAATCAAATGACTAAGTGCTTGTGAGTGCTTGCGACAAACCCAAAGAGAAAAGGCCTTTTTCCCCAGCAGACATTTTGAATGGTATTGCAGGAAAAGCTCAGGTAATGCTAATAAGATTAATGATGACCCTCCGTTATATTCAGGTGTCCTACGCCACTATGACAGGACCCTGAAACTGAAACAGCAAAATGGAATAAAGCTACATTCAATTTGTTATTTACACCTGTGCTTTTTCTACTGTGGGAGGTGAAAATGTGTTCCCTTAGAAAAGACAACCACAGGACTAAGAGAATCCAACTGCACTTATCTAGGCTCCGTAATTATGTGACGGCTGATGTTGCTGTCGTGACCGGCCGTGGTGAAAGTACAATGTTCTAAAGATGGACCACAAAAGGCTGATCTTTGACCTGTGCCAGTGTACACTATGCTAAAGGAGATAAGAAAGGAAGCACTGAAGCACCTTTCCTTAACTTTTAGAGAATTCAACCAGCTCTTGTTATGGCCGCCTCTTCAGTACTTCCGGGTCACTTCACAGTTAGGAACCTTCCTAAGCAAAAACAATTTTCAACCGCAGCCCTATTATCACCCGACTCTGCAGTCCCTCTCAGCTCTACAGAGCTATTTAGCATCTTTCAGCTCATTGTTTTGGTGTTATAGCCCACAACTGAACTGTTGTGGTTCAGCCTCACCGCTCTCATCAGCCCTGTTTACAGAAGCAGTAAAAAGTGCTACAGTATAATGAAGTCACTGTCCTCTACTGTCCCAGCACGTGTGCACAAGTGTCTAGCTGATGAACATAGTGGAGCATTGAGCAGCTAACGTTAAAGAGCCTTCCCTCCCTCAGGAGTTGGTTGAGACCATAGATTGTATTACAGTTTTTTTTTGATTGCTTTTTATTACTTACTACTTTTATTATTGGGGTAATATTTCACAACTCTTAGTGCAAAACTCAAAGCAGATCAATCAAGAAGGCTGTATGTTCAAACATGGAATCACAAATTCAATTGACTAAGTCCAACTCACGAAATTACACAGTAACTTTTTCACCACAACTAATTAGTGTGTCATCAAAGAAATACCTTTCATTTGAAGTAATTGTCTTTCACAATGCAATGATCACAATACCTTTCATATGCTTCTCTTCTGATTAGAATAAATACATTTGACCAACACTTAGTCCAACTGATCTTAATGGTTAACCACTGAACCGTTTGGTTAACCTATAGATTTTAAATGGGTTTGTCACCTGTATAAAATCTGTGTTTGTGTGAACATCTAAATTACATGTAACCTTACCTAACACATGAATACTCATTATTGCTGACTGGTTTCATCTCGTAACCACAATTGGTAAATTGGCAATTTCTTTCAATATGGAGCAGAATAGACAGCAAGGAAGAGGAAGAGCTAAAGGACAAGGGATCCATCAGAGAGGTGTGCATGAGCAACAACTGAGAGGTCAGAGAGGTGGGGAAAGGGCCTGTTGAATGGTTGGTCGTCAGACCTGTTGTCTCTAATGAAGTATGGGCTTCATCATGTGGTGAACCGAGGCCTTACTATGGCAGAGGCTGCCAGATTTGTTGAGCCAAATCTAAAACGATCATCTGTCAATTAAACCATTTGCACTTTTCAGCAAGAAAACCGGTAAGTCTGGAGGATGTGTTCTGTGCTTTAGATTTACAGTACTGTAAATTGTAATGCATGTAAATTCCTCTTCAAATTCAAATTCATTCAACATGTTACAGTATGATCTATCAACAGTATATTCTTTTCTATGCTAAGAATTGACCCCGCAGTTGTGCCCGTGGCCATGTGCTGACCAACCAGCAGGAGTTTGCAGGGGTGGAAATAATAATAATAATAATAATAATCTTTATTTGTAGAGCACTTTTCAAAAACAAGTTACAAAGTGCTTTAACAAGTGTAAAGACAATAATACCCAAGAGACAATAATATAAAAACAATAAAAGATAAAAGCATGAAAACATTGAAAAGACTAAAATACAGATAAATATAAAATAAGTAAAATAGAATCGGGAAAGGCTCTCCTATAAAAGTATGTTTTAAGAAGGGACTTAAAAGAGTTCACTGACTCAGCTGACCTGATTTCCTCGGGCAGGCTGTTCCAGAGCCTCGGGGCCCTGACAGCAAACGCTCTGTCCCCTTTAGTTTTCAGTCGAGACTCTGGAACAGACAACAGACCTCTGCCCGAGGATCTCAAGGTACGTGCTGGTGCGTATGGGACTAAAAGGTCAGAAATATAACAAGGTGAGAGGCCATGAAGAGCTTTAAAAGTGATCAATAGAACTTTAAAGTCAATTCTAAAACATACTGGGAGCCAGTGTAATGAAGCTAAAATAGGAGTAATGTGGTCATATTTCTTTGTTCTGGTTAAAAGCCTGGCAGCTGAGTTCTGGACAGTCTGGAGTCGATCAATAGATTTTTGGGATAAACAGGTGAAAAGGCTGTTGCAATAATCCAGGCGTGATGAGATGAAGGCGTGTAAAATGGTCTCGGTGTCCTTAAAAGTTAACATAGATTGAATTTTTGCTATATTTCTAAGTTGATAAAAACATGATTGAACAAGCTTTGTGGTGTGCTGCTCGAAATTTAAATTACTATCAAACCAAACACCAAGGTTCTTTGCCACAGGCTTAATGTGATTTACTAGGGAACCAGCAGATGGCAGTATTTGTTTTGCCATCTGCTGGGACCCGATGACCAGGATTTCTGTTTTGTCTGAGTTCAGCTGGAGGAAATTATTTGACATCCATTTTCCATCCCCTGAGGCACACCATATTTAACTGGACAGAACGAGGAGACATAGTTGTTTACAGACACGCAAAACTTCCTATTTGACCGGTAGGATGAAAACCATTCTAGGGCAGTACCAGAGATCCCCACCCAGTGCCTCAGTCTGTCTAACATGATGTTGTGATCAATGGTGTCAAAAGCAGCGCTAAGGTCCAGGAGTACCAGGACTGAGCACATGCCTTCATCAGCAGACATTAAAAGGTCATTGGTGACTTTAAGCAGGGCAGTCTCAGTGCTGTGGTACTTCCTAAAACCAGACTGAAACTTTTCAAATATTTTGTTATTTTCCAGTACAGTGAGCAGCTGTTTGGACACAATTCTTTCTAGAATCTTTGCAATAAAAGGCAGTTTTGAAATTGGTCTAAAATTATGTGGGAGGGAGGGATCTAAACCAGCTTTCTTTAAAAGTGGGTTCACGCAAGCCGTTTTAAAATAATCAGGGACACAACCAGTAGATAGGGAGCTGTTGAAAACAGAGATCAAATGGGGCCCAACAGAATCTATTACTTTCAGTAAAAACTTTGTAGGTATTACATCAAGTGGGCTGGAGGACACTCTCATTTGTGATACTGTTTTTAAAAGCTCAGACAAGTCGATGGGATAAAACTGGTTAAAACTCTCTTGTTGCTGGTGAGGAACCTCTGAGTAAGAGGCCACGGGGGTAATAGAGGCTCTGATTGACACCACCTTATTGGTAAATAAGATAAAACAATTCACAGTCATCATTACTTCCAGCTGAGGCACAAGGAGGGGTTGGGTTTACCAGCTGATCCACAGTCTTAAACAGAAACCTGGGATTGTGTTTATGTGTAATAATGAGTTCAGAAAAATAGTGTGTTCTCGCATCCTTAACCAAGTTATTGTAGTTAATTAATAAATCCTTCAGACTGAGGTAATGGACTTGGAGACTGGATTTTTTCCATCTGCGCTGTGCTTTCCTGCATTCCCTTTTTAGGATGCGAATGCTGTCATTTATCCAGGGTTGCTTACTAGCTTTAGACGTAGGCCTAACCTTTAGAGGAGCAGTAATATTTAGTGACGACAAGCAGATATGATTGAAGTGAACGACCAGATTGTTGGTGTTGGAATTAGACAGGTGTTGGCTTTGGCTCTGAAAGAATGCGCAAAACTTTGAAACACTTTGTTCATTAAAGAAGCGAGAACACACGGAGCTTGGTGAGGCGGCATGAGTAACAGGCGAATCGCAGCTAAAAACAATACATCTGTGGTCAGATATGGTCATGTCCACTAATTCCACAGAGGAAATGCTGACACCCAGGGTAAAAACCAAGTCCAGTGTATGACCACGGTTATGTGTTTGCCCTTTGACATGTTGTTTGAAGTTAAAAGAAGTGGCCATATTTAAAAAGTCAGTTGCATTAACATTGTTGGGGTCATCAACATGAATATTAAAATCGCCACAAAGAAAAAATTCTGTCATAATTTAAAACCAGAGTAGATAAAAATTCAGGAAGTTCTGATAAAAATCCTCCAGGCGGTTTTGGGGGGCGAAAAATTATAACAAATATGATAGGTTGCAGCCCTCCAACTTTAAGAGTGAGAACTTCAAAGGAGTTAAATTCATCACAGCGTACTTGATGACATTTAAAAGTTTTCCTATACACGCTCACTAGCCCACCACCACGACCACTGACGCTCGGTTGACTAAAACAATCATATTGAGGTGGACACAGTTCAGCTAGCTGGCTATAGTCATTCATTTGCAACCAGGATTCAGTTAAAAACATACAAGCAGACAAGATAAAATCATTTAAGATAAAAGTCTTACTTGAAAGTGATCTCACATTGAAGAGAGCCATTTTAAATGAGTTTGTTGTGGGTGCTGGAGTTGGTGCAGTTGTCCTAATCCTTAAGAGATTACTATTATTTCTGTGTGGGATGTGCACATTTGGGTTTACTGGTCTATGCGTGATGATGACAGGAATAGAAGTCTTTGGAACAGCGGCTTTACATGCCAGCAGGTGGAGACAGTTGTTTGTGGCAGTGAGGCAGAGATCTGTTCAGTGAGCGGTGGTGTGTCCAGGTTGTGCTGCATGAATGTGCTGCACACCAATAGTAAGGGCCAGGAATTAAGAAAGCAATCGAGGAGAAAAATGAAACCTTTGCCAGCGTGGCATCCATCAGCCAACCAACAGTAGCCTGGCTTATGAAGAGGCAGCAGGTATCAATGGACAACAAATATACCCAATGCCTTTTGAGAGAAACAATGACCGGGTGAAACAGCTGAGGGCTGAATATGTTCAGGTTCAACACTATATACTGTATTACTGTAAAAAGAACTAACCAAAATATATTTTTTAGAGTGTGATGGGACTTGATGTTGATGTGAACCATCACACCACAGTACATTTTGTTGATGAAGCTGGCTTTACATTAATTTATTTTATTTACTGTAACTGTACATTTGCTTTTAGAGAGTATACCTAATTTGACACTTGATTTTGACTTAACTTACAAATAGGATATATATCATGGAAATGATATATACTGTAAATCTTGATTAATGACAGTGTATTGCCTAATGTGAAAACTATAATCTGTTATTTACGGTACTGTAGCATAATATTTTCAGCACTTAAGGTGATTTGAAACATGTATCTTGCATTGTTTATCAATGGATTCACTGATTGTTACAACTAAAATGAAAAGATATCCTTATTTTGTGTTTTGGTGATTAAACCATATGTTCTCATGACTTTTCATGAGAAACTTATCTTTTGAATCAAAGGCTGTGTGACGAGACATGTTTACAATCCAAATGAATGCACAATGGCAAGTTTTCAGAATCTTTTGAATGAAAGGCTGGCAGTGTTATGTAAGTGTGATGAGTTTGGAGTTTAGTAATGTGAAATTTTACCACATACTTGCAATAATGGCACCAAAGCGATTAAAAAAATAAAAAAATAAAAAAGACACCGAACGCAGTTTAAAAAGGGGGGGAGAATATTGGACTTATATTGGACTTATGGACTGGATTTATCAGGTAGCCAGAAACACAACTCCAAACAAATGCTAATGTGTGTGTCTGCTGGATGTGAGAATAGGCAGCAGTTTGTTAACATGTTCGTCCCAACAACTCAGTAAGGGGATAATATATCAGTGTTTATAGCTTATTTGGAAGTGGGCATAATGCCCTTTTTATGATAAGACACCTTGATATAGCTCAGAGCAACCAAGACAAAGAAAAGTTATCTTGTTTTCTCTTTGTGTCTTCATCTGAGTAACATCTTTAGAATCACTGCGCTGCTGAGGTACCCAGCTGGCTTCTTAACTTAGATGCTAAGCAATAATCCCAGCTCACAAGCCAACCTGGCTAATTAGCCGGCTAGCTTGGTAGCATCAGTAGCCTTCTAAAGAAAAGTAAAATAAGTTAGTTCTGGTGTCTGTACACTGTATTTCTTTAGATCAGCAGCTAATTTGGTTGATTCACAAGTGCTGTAGTGCTGTTGTTGCTCTAGCTAACAGGAGCTAGTTGGCTACATTTGGTAGCAGCTGTTGAACTTGCAGGGACCATGTGATCGGAGTGAATGGACGACAATTCTATTATGACATAAATTCAAAATACTAATGACAGCATTTTAAGTTAATATATTGTAAACAAAGTATTCATATTATTCAATTTCTTATTTATTAAAATGAACCACTTCAAAGTTTGACAAATTAAGATCTTATTTTCTTTCATGTTCTCTTTGATATAAAATTATCTATCCAAATCTATAGGCCTCTGATGTGAACATGCCGCTACAAATTCATTGTATTCTGTAGCTTACACACTACTGTACATACAAACCTCTACTTGTACTATGAATCAAGTCCACGTGTGTCCTGCTTTGTCCTGTTGCGTCACCGAGGACTCCTGCGAGCAAGAAGACAAAAAAAGTCCTGATACCAAAGATCACTCCAACAAGAATTCTCATTTTATTGACTAAATCTTAGCTTACAGGAAGACAGTTGTATTGCAAAGACAGAACCGGATACGAGTTCTAGTGCTGTGGTCATCTACTCACTAAAACTCCAACACCAAAATCATGATGCTTTGAAACGTGTCACTGGACAGAAAGACACTGGAACTCCATTACAACACTTTACGCTATGGATGAGGTGAAGAGGCAGCAGCGACTGATTCAGGCGTGGCGAGGAAGAAAAGGGAAGGTGACGTATCCCTTAATGTGTAGTTTGTCCTCAGCTGCAGCGGATACTGGACCTGAACGTAACATATCCATTCTAACTTGACTTTAGTTCTTCATTACATTCTGTTGCTTATAGTTGCATCACAATTCAAATGATTACTGTGATGAGATTAAGAATATCCTGAAAATCAACTTGTTTCTTTAGTTTCAGGAATCCGTCAGTCTAATCTGTGTTGCCTTGTTGAACATTTTATGTCTCAGAAATCCCCGAAACTAACGAATCTGCATAGCAACAAGTAGAATTATCTCACCCAGACTTTAGTGGCGGAGCCAAACACATCTTCATCCAGGTGGCTGAAACAAATCTGTGTCTTTTTCAGTTTTTCTGCATGGCACAGTGCCACAGGTCAAATAGTTACTGTTGTTCAGTCATCGAGGCAACACTGCTAAGTGAGCACCAAGCTTACAGTACGCCTTTAGAGGTCACATTTAATAGGCTGTTGTAAACAGTTTAGTGGATGTTTGTTTATGACCAAAATTTGGCTTTGTTGTCTAAATGAGCTCCTAATGGTCTTGTGGGCTGAAATAATGCTGAATCTTGCCGTTTAAAAAAAAAAAGGAGCCAAAAACTGGGTAAATACAAGAGGATTTCAGATCACTTTGTATTAAACTACGTTGACAGTGCAGGTGCAAATATTTTGCGTCTCCAATCTGTTAAGTTAAATGTATGCTGTGGATTGTTTGACCACAAGCACTATGAGCAATGTTTTTACGAGTGGGACCTCATGTGTGTACATGGACGCACATGCTCACACATCCAAGAAGCGCAACTCACATCCTGCCGTTAGGCTATTCTGATGACAGATGTTGGCAACAACACTCATAGAGGCAATGCAGCAATGTGCCAACATCGTGTTTGTTTTACATGACACTTCCAAAGAGGCACCTTTTAATATCACTCCTGCACAGCGTGTGAAAACGTTTGCTGGCTCATGTAGCGATTAACAGGGAAAGATTCTGCAAATGAAAGAGCAGGGTAGTGATGCTGTGTGTGGTGGCCAATGGTGTGGCCAGGCTTTAGTCTCTATTCTGCCCACTAGGGCTGTACATTTTTTAATCGAAATTTTAACCACCATTTAAACACATACAAAAAATGTAATGTAAAATCTTGTTGTCTTCACTAATGCAAAATGGAGGTAACTAGCAAGCTGTGCTCAACAGGTAATCATGACACCAAATCATGTGAGAAGTAATGTGTGGAAGTATTTTGGATCTGACACCACAGATGGAAAAATCGTAGATAAGGTGAAGCTGTTTACTGACTTTTCAAAACGCAAAAGCCTGCGTTAGCATTACCACCACAACAAACGTTAGCTTGACTCTCACTAAGGCAGTGGAGGCAGAGCAAATGACCAAATGTCAATTCTGCAGCATATTTTGTAATGTGGGTTGCATTCCAGATAATTTGAACAATTCACCTGATAGTAGTCATTCCTTTATTTAATTTTTTTCCAAAGTGCCCACCCCTTGGCTCCGCCACTACCAGTTTTACACAATTTCTCACTTGACTTGTAAAAAGAATAAACGGTTTGTTAGATTAGAATGGATGTTTGATACACTATAGATACATCTGGGAAGTGCTGAGGAGAAGTTGAAGGGTGGTTTGAGGAGGTATTCTGCAGAGAAAGAATGACACGATGAGGTAATGAACAGGCCCGTGTAATCTCTTCTTCATACGGTCATGTGTGAGGCCTCACCAGTTGAATCTCAAGTGCTGGAGCTTACACAGTAAACGCTGCAGAGCCAGAGCTGCTTGCAGCTGGCTGATGGAGAAAACAGCACGGCTACAGTGTCTGTATCAGGACCGTCCTTTGTTCCGAGTCAGAAGGCTGCCGGATGAGGTCAGAGATTGTCACAAGATGTAGTCATTTGCATACTCACTCGCTGATCCGGGAGCAGCTTTGGCGAACATGATCCAAACAGGGTTAACGTTAGGGCTGAACTGAGTTTAGCTGATCCTCAGGGTGGATCCAAGCTGAGGCTACTGACTCTCACAAGATAAAGAAACATGTTGTTTGCAGATATACTACATTTACAGGGTACGACAGCTTGTGAGCGGCGAAACACGGAGCAGGTTTTCACAACAGAGCTTCAGCACATACAAGTTCATGCAGATTTATGTCTGGAAAGCAACACACAAAACGCCCATTCCTGTGCTCGATCCAATACTTTTTTTTCTCCTTCAAATTATTTAGGTAATATTCATCATGAGTCAAAGAAAAGGAAGGGATCACTTTTTTTGCTGTTAATTTTAAGTTGGTAGAGAAAAAAACACGTGTACGCCACACTACTTTACTAAAATTGGCAATTTAGAAGGAAAACTCTCCCTACCTGTGATTTAAACTCAAGCCTCTTGCTCTATGTCTTCATGCTTTGCTTTTTTCTGTTGCTGAAGGTGGTACGATGTACATGTCATTAATAGCAATACAAATACAACACACTGAATAGAAACTAATTATTGTTTGGATTTTTTAGCCCTAGGATGTCTCAGGAGATCATGACGGCAATATTCACTCTGGGACATAATGCAAGAAATTGTGCTACGGCAAAAATTCCACATCACAACATTTTACGTTTCTTTTTATCCTGTTTTTCCGCTTTTTTTTTGTAAATCCGGTTCAAATTTGTCGTAAAGGTATGTTTGAGCTACTCGTCATGCAATTTTATAAAAGGTGACTCTTTAACATCTTCTGGGATTTTTTTCTTCTTCTTCAGGTTGAATTAAAAATGATTAGTGATTATTTTTCTCATCTTTTCAGACAATACATTTCCCTAATAGTTTCGAAGAAAACATAAGCAATACAAACAGATTTTGGGGGGAAAAACTTTTCAAAGAAAACAGAATCTATAGAAGCAGAATTTGGAGAGTGAGTAGAAAATAGTCTTTGAACAGTGAAGTAGACATGTTTGACAGAGACATCATAAGCCTTCTCTCAGTCCAGTCTGACGTCATGGACGGTAAAATATTCCGTCTGAAAGCCGTTGGTCAAACCTCGTACAGAATATACATAACGGTTCAAACCAATATGTACAGCTGCCAACCAAATGTGTTGGCAGATACAGCTAGGCCAGAACACCAAATCACAATGTGAAGTTGAATGAAAGACAAAGAAAGCTGCTTTACAAAAAAAAAGTAATAGAAAAAATAGTGTGATGTTCTTTTTAGGTTCAAGTAAACAATAAAATTCTCAAAGCAAAATAAATCCACTTCATTTGGATTCATACATACGGAACAGTGATACAACAAACACACAAACATTTAAAACCACCGTTCTTTTTTTATCCTGCAAGGTATTTCCTTGGAACTCTGTTTTAGTCTTCTTCAAAAATACAAATCCTTTGTCCCTTGGCTTCATTCAGAAATTACACCCGGTCACACCCTGAAGAGATCACACAGCACTCTGCGTCTTCTGTGTCTCTGCTTGCTTCTTGTTTTCTTTTTCTTTTTTGCTGGAAGTATTGCTTTAAGAAATACATTTTGGTCTTCTTTTAGTGACAGAATCTCTAATGGAAGCAATTTTTCATTTTTCCTCTGGGTTTCACAAAACTGCATTTGCACACATCAGTGAAATCAAATTGTAAATTGGTGCTTCATGACTCCAATCTGACCAAAAACCCAACCTCATGAGGAATGTATGCATTCTACAAATACTTTCCATGCGTGTGCTCTTCCTATCCCAGGATGATTAAAACAGGATATGTGTTAGTACTCATTGTCTGTTTGTTTCTTTTTCCATGCATGCACATCTACGTGGTCGGATGAGAGGTATAAAAGTGTGTACCGCTTTGTGAGTTTGTGACAACATCAACGTTCTGGCGCACTCAGACGCAGATTTCAATGGGCGTAGCCACCAGCATGCGGCCACCCGGCGAACTGTTTTCTCGCGGCATTCGGTCGTAACTGTTGGTGGACGACACGGAGCTGTTGGTGGAGACGGACACGAAATGGTGCCCACCGCCCGGTTCCATCATCCCGCCCTTAGCCCCGCCGCCGTTCCCCCTCTCCACCGCCACCGGAGACATGGGAGAGAGCGGTGACAGCGGGGAGAGAGGAGATAAAGTCTGCTGCTTCATCCTCTCCACGAGGACCTCCTCGTCTTCCTCCCCGGATGAAGATGACGAGATAGTGCCGTCCACCTCTCCCCGTCCCCCTCCTCCACCCCCTCCGCCGCCAACCCTCTCTCCGCCATTTCCGCTGTTGCCGTTGTTGTTGTTGTTCTCCGCATCCAGCATCCAGGAGTGGCTGAAGTACCCGAAGACCTCTTTGACGGAGCAACGGCGGTCCTGTTCCACGGAGAGCAACCGGCGGAACATGCGCAGAGCCTGCTCAGTGAAGCGCCTCCACTGGGACGGCACCGTGTTCGTCCTCCTCCTCTGCCAGCGGATGAACTCCTGGTAGAAGGAGTCGGAGGGTAGCGCCTTCTCCCAGGGGAAGTTGCCGGTCAGCATACAGAAGAGCAGCACACCGAAGGCCCAGACATCAGTGCTGTAGTCCACGCAGAAACCCTCGTGGCGGGACACGTCGCAGAGCTCCGGGGCCGTGTAGGGGATGGTGCCACTCACCTGGAGGGGAAACCCAACAGGTCAACACCATTGTGGAAAACAAGAGAGGACTGGAGGTCAGAAACAGAATTGTTACTCACTCTTTTCACAGGCGAGCCAGCTCTGCGGGTCATGCCGAAGTCGGACAGCTTGACCTTGCGGCACTCTCTGTCAAAAATGAGGATGTTTTCAGGCTTGATGTCCCTGTGGACCAGCTTCTTGCAATGCAGGTAGTCCAGGGCGATGGCTACTTGGTGCACACAGCGCTTTGCCACTGCCTCTGGAAGACCAACCTGAAGGGATGGAAAGAGGGAAATTGGAGTGTAACACACAATACATACGGTATCTGCACCAATAAAACCTGCATCACTGTACTGTACTGCACATCACTGTGTGTGATAAAAAAATTTTATTTGACTTGTCTATGATTACATTGATTGCAGCTGGGTCTAGCAGCTGACCAGTAGCGTCCAGTCAAACAGTTTGGATGTTTGAGAGCTCCCTTAAAAACTAGGAGCTTTAAATGGTCAATTCCTTGATGCTACTGTCTCTAGATATGCTACTGAAACTAAATAGTTTTTTAACCATTCCATTTCAAGATATAGTATTATGCTGAGAAATCCATCCATCCATCCATAACCGCTTATCCTGCATACAGGGTCACGGGGAGCTGGAGCCAATCCCAGCTTACATTGGGCGAAAAGCAGCGTACACCCTGGACAGGTCGCCAGCCCATCACAGGGCCACACATAGACGAACAACCACTCACACTTAACTTGACAGGGAGAACATGCAAATTCCACAATAAAAGGCCAGGCTGACTGGGGTTTGAACCCATGACCTTCTTGCTGTGAGGCAACAGTGCTGACCACTGCACCACCCGCATCACCCGCATACTGGGAAATATTTATATTTATTCCAGCCTCCTTTGCACTCTGCTCCATAACACTACAGTCTTTTGCTTTTAAACTGTATATGTTTCCTTGTACAAGAAGAGTCTCTTGATCTGCATTTCTTTAAAATCAAATTTTTAGATTTTTGATTTGATTGTGTAGAATGTGACCAGAGCATCCTGGTGAAAATATGCGTTTTTCATTGATGCTACCACTCGGGCCGCCAAAGTGGGAAATTTTACATTAGCGGTATTCAATAAAAGCTTCAGTTTGTAAGTTTTAGTGGCATCTAGTGGTGAGGGCTGCGAATTGCAACCAATGGCTCAGTCACCACCTTTTTATATACAGTCTATGGTCACCGCTCACTCCTCCCCTTGCAAGCATGTAGAAGAAGCTACGTTGTGCTAAATAACACGCGTGGTCCTCCATTTGTCCAAATTTCAGTTCTTTTCTTACTTCTAGTAAACCGGTCGACGACTACTACAACTATTACTACTACTATTTTTTCTTCTTTGCACGTATTCAACATAATAACAAAACGCGCTCTGTAGAGCAGTTTGTTCGTTTGGGCCACTGTAGAAACATGGCGACTTCCAAGAGGATGTTCTAAGAGGACCTGCGGTGTATGTAGATAGAAATGGCTCATTCTAAGGTAATAAAAACCTAATTGTTCATTATGTAAGGTCATTATACACCACTAAAAACATAGTTTAAGTCAATAGATCCTCCTAAATATTACACTCTGGACCTTTAAGTGATGCACTCTGTCAATGAAGTGACATAATGACATAAAACACGTGTTTTAACTTCTCAAAAACATGTCGAGAAAGATATTTTTGCAACAATACTTGACCCAAAAGCGATAATCAGAATAATAATGAGAGGGAGCACCTGTGGAGGAATAATATCGAAGAGGTCCCCTGCCAGAGCGTACTCCTGTGCAAACACATAGTATTCGTCTGTCTCGAAGGCGATGCCGAACATGTTGATGATAAAAGGGCAGGGAGACAGGTAGAGTGAGATGCTGTACTCCCGCAGGAACGACTTCAGCTTGGTAGTCTTCTTCTTCAAGAACTTCAGTGCCATTTTTGTACCTTTTGGGGAGATACGGAATAAAAAGAAACTGTAGACACTGGTGTTTTTGCAGCAGGTTATTGCTGTTTGTATGTATATTTGCATGTTTACGTGTCCCCTCACCTCTGATCTTGTGGATGACCAGGTCCACCTTGCCGTAGGTGCCTTTGCCCAGCTCCCTGATCACTTCGTAGTACTTGTTGACCTCCAGCCTCTCCAGATTCTGGGCCGCAATCAGCTGCAGCTCGTCCAGGATGTCCATGTTGGCTCGAGACACGAGCGGAGAGGAACTCATGCTGGGGAATCACTTCAGGGGACAGACTGGGGAAGAAAAGCTGGGGAACGGATGCTCAGGCAGGACAAGAGCAGCAGCAGCTAAAACCTGGTGTCACTGTACAGAAACAAGAGAGGACACACGTTCTTATTATACAGTTTGATGGAATTTCACATGTGGGGGTGCTAAAGTAAAAATACACAAGTAAATGTCTATAATTCTGTGGTCACAGTTTTCTTAATATTTTGCATGATTTATTCTGGTTCAATGCTGTAACTTTCTCTTAACACTTAGTCAGCCTATCAGTTTTCAGCATCAATTAGACAAGGTTCTATAAAGGGGAAAGTTTGTAGCCAGCGAAACAGCGGTTTTCTCCAGAAAATGCACATTCTACATAACAACAACAACTATTATTATTATTATTGCTGTTGTTTTAGAATTTGATTATTTTAGATTATATTACATATTTTAATATACCTTTATTTGATATGTATGCAACAAACCTACAATAATAAATACTTTAAACAACAAATGTCTAATTATAGTTAAAAATAATAATTCCACAACATACACTGGACAAAATTATAAACACAACACTTTTGTTTTTGCCCCCATTCATCATGAGCTAAACTCAAAGATCTAAGACTTTCTCTATGCACACAAAAGGCCTATTTCTCTCAAATATTGTTCACAAATCTGTCAAAATCTGTGTTAGTGAGCACTTCTGCTTTGCCGAGATAATCTGTCCACCTCACAGGTGTGGCATATCAAGATGCTGATCAAACAGCATGGGTATTGCACAGGTGTGCCTTAGGCTGGCCACAATAAAAGGCCACTCGAAAATGTGAAGCTTCACTGTATTGGGGGGGCAGGGGGTCTCCAGAAACCAGTCAGTACCAGTCAACACATCTCCTTTGCATAGAGTTGATCAGGTTGTTGATTGTGGCCTTTGGAATTTTGGTCCACTCCTATTCAATGGCTTTGCAAAGTTGCAGTCAGGTCGGGGCCCCTGATGAGGACGAGGAGCATGCAGATGAGCTTCCCTGAGACGGTTCCTGACAGTTTGTGTAGAAATTCTTTGGTTATGCAAACCAACTGTTGCAGCAGCTGTCCGGGTGGCTGGTCTCAGACGATCTTGGAGGTGAAGATGCTGGATGTGGAGGTCCTGGGCTGGTGTGGTTACACGTGGTCTGCGGTTGTGAGGCCGGTTGGATGTACTGCCAAATTCTCTGAAACGCCTTTGGAGACGGCTTATGGTAGAAAAATGAACATTCAATTCACGGGCAACAGCTCTGGTGGACATTCCTGCAGTCAGCATGCCAATTGCACTCTCCCTCAAAACTTGCGACATCTGTGGCATTGTGCTGTGTCATGGAACTGCACATTTTCGAGTGGCCTTTTATTGAGGCCATCCTAAGGCACACTTGTGCAATATTTGAACAATATTTGAGAGAAATACGCTTTTTGTGTACATAGAGAAAGTCTTAGATCTTTGAGTTCAGCTCATGATGAATGGGGGCAAAAACAAAAGTGTTGCATTTCTAATTTTGTTCAGTGTATTTACATACATATAAATACACATGTAACTATAAATCATAATTTCTGTCATTATTATTAGCAGTTGTTGTAAATTGCAAAAGATCAATAAAATATCAAATGTGAATGAATAAATACTTATGTGGAAGATTTGTGACATTTCTTGCAATTTACAATTTAAAGTACACATTGAGGCATTAGTGGTTTTCCAACATTTCACATGTGAAATATGATAATTAATACACAATAAACAGTGAATATTGAAGACAAAGACTAAAGATTACACGTGTGTTTGACAGGATTATGTTTGTCCTTGTTGGTCATGAGTGTTGGAGAGCAGGCAGCTCCATTAGTATCCCTCTTTTCATTGTATAGTAAAACGAGTTGTCTATAAAGGTATGGACACATGAACTAACACACGTGCTGTTAGGAGAGCGTGTTTGTGACCTTTCTGTTCTGTTTTCAAGGTCAGCGATGGACAAGCCGTTCGAAGTTGCAGCACACAGTCTGCTGCTCTGATCTGCAGTGTGATAGTCCCTAAAAATGCTAATTATCTGCAGTGAAGGCTTAAGTAATTCTAAATGCTACTCGCCAAGGGGGGTGCCAGAGCTGAGCTGTTAGCTGAGTCACACACACACACATAGCGCAAGCACACACACACACACACACATGCACATGCACATGCACACAGAGCCAATAACAGTCCTTTCGAGCAAATGCATTGCCTGCTGCAGTGTGATTATTCTTAGTGATCGCCTTCTTTTTTTCTTCCAGAACAGAGAGATCTGCCAAGTTCTGACCCTTACTCTATAGATCCAGGCACATGTAGAAGTAATATAGGAGTTGGCACGTGTACACATACACACACACACACACACTCACACACACACACACACACAAATACACACAGACTCACACACTCATTACATAACCTGAAATGCTGGAAAGCAGCCTCTCTCCATCCCTGAGCAGACACTTGTGAATCTGCCTTCCTGTCGTCACTCACAGGAAAAGCAGCAAGCGCTTGGACTGCTGTCTTGTTTACAGCTCCTTCTTCATCCTCGACACAAATCTATACACAACTGACATTTATCTTGCATTGTCCCTAAATCTTTTGAAGAGTTAAACCTCTCTTCGGGACGCAGATGATGACATTCTGACGGACTGAGCAGCTGCAAGCCGTCATAACCTGCTTCATCACATGTTAAGTCACCAGCTATGTGACAAAATGCACACACACACACGCGCACACACAGCAGCACAATAATGTACCTTGTCATCCCCTCCGCAGGCCTCTGTGTTCCTCTGTGGGAGTGCAATGTTTTTTTTGCGTGATGCAGACAAGAAGAGAGCAGTTGACACCAACAGGTGAGGAGGGATGAGTCAGTTTGGGTGATTAATGGCAGCGCGGAGAGAATGTACTGCTAGCTCTCTCTCTCTGCCCCTTAAATAATATCCCTGGGACACATGCGAAAAACACACACATGCACAGGAGGGAGGGCAGGGAGTAACAGAGTAAACAGAGAAGGACATTTGTTTCTGATCGGGGTCAGACGTGCTTACTGTAGCACTGCAGGGCACATGCAGCACTGTGTGTGTGTGTGTGTAACAGTTGCTTCTATGGAGGTACACAGTCTAAATAATATCTCTGAATTTCTTTTTTGATGCCATGTTTCTAAATAATTACTATCACTTATAGGTGCAACATGTGGTATGTTTCAACTTCTTCAACCTCAGTTCAGTCATTCTGTCTCACATCAGGACCAAAGAACACCAACCAGCAAACTGTATTCTTGTCTTTTATACTTTGTACACTTTTTTAGGGTTGTATAATGAGTCCTTACTGTTGTGTTTAGTTTTAGCTAGGGCTGGGCGATATGGCCAGAAATGTTATTACGGTAAAAACATTTAATACCATTCGATATTGATAATTATCACGATAAATGTTAAATCATTATTTCTTTCAAGTTTAAAGGCTGATTTTTGTTTCTGAGTGAAAATCAATCAAAATCATGAAGATGATGATGGTTAATTGTGTGGTCAGAGTGTGACAAACACTTGATGCCAAACAGTGGATCCATTCACAAATCTGAGGTAGAACATTCAAAACAATTATGATAAAATCCTTTTTTCCTCAACAAAATAAATATCTTAATAGAAAAATTAAGTGCTAATTTGTTCGTCATGATTCAAATGAACTTCCACTTTCATTCATCTTGTTTCCACACAACAGGCAGCTGTTTTCAGCTGAAAAGCTCTGGTAAACCCACTGTCCTCTACATGACCGGCACCAAATAGTAGACAGAAAAAGTTGGCGACTGGCTTAAGTTGAACAGCTAGCAGCTAAAGGGAAACACGTTCCCCTCAGGAGTTGGTGGAGACCAAAAGCAGAGCTAAAAGGAGAGGGAATTTTTGTCTTACATTTATCTGTTACTGTGCGCACACGACAGTGAAAACATCATCAAGCAAAACCAGGCAGGACAACAAACAGGACTTTCACCGAGGTGAAAAACCATATAAGACCAGAAAGGAACGACCCATATTTTTGATTAATGCAGGCATTAAGTTGGCTGGTCCAATCAGATTCAAGTTGGACACTACTGTTATAGTAATATGTAGCTGCTATCTTATTATTTAAATGTCAAAAATGTATCTGCATATGATGGTAAAATGTTACAAATAATTTTACTGCAATTGTGTCTGTGGTGAGTTCTGTAAAGTGAAATAACAATCTTTAGGAGATTCTACATCATTAAATGTTGAGCATTCAGACCTGCTGCTGCTTGCGTGTGTGTCTAGAACAGACACTCTCAGCAGACATCACACATCCTCTCTCCTAATCTCTATGCTCTCAGCTCTGTGTTGACAGCTCAGAAGAACATCCATGTGTGTGTCAGCCTGTGTGTATGTGTGTGTGTGTGTGTGTGTTTGTTTACCACAAAGAGATCTGCATCTGTATTTATAAAGAAGCAGACTGATAGCGGAATGAGTCATCAGGTCAGGACAAATGTCGGCTCTTCATGTGGAGAGGAAGTCTGCTATCTCTATCGGTGCGTGTGTGTGTCTGTGTGTGTGTGCGTGTGTGTGTGCGCGGCGTCACATAGGCTTATTGTTAACAATAGCTGTAACTCAATCCATAACTAGCGGCATTTCACATCCTTGGTAGAAACAACACGTAGCCAGGGATTAGACAGCATCCTGGCTGGGACTAAAATCTGACTGGATGAAATTACAAATACTAGAAAAGTAGTATTAACAACTTTCCCTCAGGAGTAGGTGGAGACCAAATGCAAAGCTAACAGGAGAGGGAATATTGGGCTTACATTTATCAAATGTCCAGAAACACGCAATTCTACTAACACGTTCATCATAACTTTAAAGGTGATATGTCAGTGTTGTACTTTGAGCTTGGTTTGTAGTTCCTCTGCCCCCAGGCGGCCAAATATATATTTTTTTAATAACGCAGCAATTAATGAGATTATCCTCCGTATCAAAAGGTAAAGAGCATTTTGGCCTCATTTGTAATAGTTAGTGCTGAAGCGATTCGTTGACTAGTTTAAATTTATCACCAATAATTTTGATTGAATTTAATTGATTCATTGATTAAATTATTCATCAATCAAATGCCAAGCACATTCTGGTTCTGCCCTCTTTAACATGAGGATTTGCTGCTTTAATCTGTTTTATATGATTGTTTTATACACAAGCAGAGAGGAAGGTGTCACTTGTGAAGTGGTAAATTGTGATGAGCATGTTTTAGTAGTTTTGGACATTTTATAGATGAAACAAATAACTGATTAGTCCAAAAATCCATCAACGTTGTAGGGCTGTCCCCGACCAAGGATTTACATAGTGGAATCAGAATTGTCAACTCTTGCCTATAGTTGACTGATCGTGTAGGCGGGGTGTTAGGGTTACAATTTTGGATTTATTCAAGCACTTAAGATTTATTAAAAGAGTCTTTCTTGTCACATTTTTATGTACACCATTATATGCTTATATACTTACATCATAATAGGCTGTATATTAAGTTACTGGGAGAAAAACGGTAGTTCTATGTAAAATCAGACACTGAGCAGCCAAAATGGCGTGATCCTCGTTTCATAACGCCTCTGTGAAGATTCAACTGTGAGATTGTTAGTCATATCTGTCTCCTTCCATTGAAGCATCAATTCTTCACCTATTCAGGGTCAGCCCCACAACTCTGTAGATTAATCGATGATAAAAATAATTGTCAGTTGCAAACTGTACTGTGTAAAAATGTATGTAGCAATGATTTGCTTGCATCTAAGCATGTCATGACAATCTCACTCTCCTCCTCAGGACATCACCTGTGCACTCCCTCAGGCTTTCCAATGCAACATATTGTGAACAGGCAAAAAATACACCATGTTCCTTTCCAGTGAGCACAACCCCCCCCCCACCCGTGTTCCTCTCGCAACGCTGACACTCTGTGCCACCAGGTTCAACACTCTGTGGAAACAGAGAAGCGCCCAGGGGCCGCAGCTGACTAAATCCCAGACTGCTTATGCAACCAGCGGGCAGAGCTGACCGGCCGAGCACATTCGGCGAGCCAAGGCAACGATCGCAGCCACGCCCCACACTGCCCTCCAACAATTACAGCAACGCCATCTTCATCTTTTTCCCATTTAAATGGCCTGTCAGTTTACCTGATGCACAAGCCGCAAACACACACATTCCTGTTTCTCATGCGAGGAGCATCAGCGACACACACGTTAAGCCATCCATTGTTTGCCCACATAGAATTTGTCTTCTGCTTTCAAAAAGCTGGCATGATCTGACTGACTGTGACCAGGCATTGACAGGGGAGACAAAATAATGAGAGGGGAAAGAGAGGGAGAGTAGCACATGATGACAAGGGCCGTTGAGTAGCAAAAGACCAGCAAGTGTGTGTGTGGAGACAGATGAAGAGTGCGGTGGCCAATCTCCCTGCACCACTAGCCAACAGCAGCTACTAACATAATAACAACTCAAATCCCCGGTGTAGCAGATTTTTTTTACCACAATTACAGTTTAATGCTGAAGGTCAGAAAAATAATAATTCAGACCTCCTCCCTTTTGTGACTGACCTCTGATGTCCTTTACAGCCCAAGACCTAACCTTTCTCATTAACAAGATGAAAGTTCCACATTCTGGCTTTAAGGGGGCACTCTACCGATGTTTATACATGAAAATATAATGTCTTCTGTGGTTCTGGAGGAGCTTCGTCATCACAGTTATCTCATCATGGACTTGGAGACAAGTGTGTAACGTTGCAAACTGGAGGCATGGCGTTTGAAAGATTAGATTGGAGTTCGAGGCATTGGGAATTTCTGACAGCGACGATAGCTGGTGAAAAGGACTACATAAGTGTAAACAAACCAATGGCAAAATGGCTGCAAAGCCTCCATTGTTGGCAGTTACATCATGTCAATAAAAGAGAGAATCATTCTTATCCAAATGGAGCTGTTTGTATCTGCTTTCATTTGTAAGCAAATATGTAACATCGCAAAAACTAGCTCTTTTAGGCTATTTAACTATGTAACTGTAAGACCAGCAGCTTTAGGGTCAACAATCTTCAGTCCCCCAAATTTATGGAAGTGCGGGGTACCAAAATCACTGGAGCCCCTTTAAGCTGTAATGTTTAAAGTAGAATTACAGTATTTCTAAAATGCCTGGATGAATGAAGAGAGCTAGCGTCAATATGTCTACAGCATCACTAAGCACCTTCTTAAAGGAATAGTTCTACATTTTAGGAAATTAGCTCATCTACAGTCATGCCGAGAGTCAGACGAGAAGGTTGATACCACATCCCATGCTGTCGTTTTTTTGCCTTACAGTTGGTGTTCCCAGTGTGTGATTAGTGAGCTATAGAGGTGTTGGTAGGTGGACTTTGTCACTTGACAGAACTAGGCTAACTGTTTCCCCCTGCTTCCAGTCTTTAAGCTAAGCTAAGCTAATCGCCTCCTGGCCCTACGTTCATCTACAGATTGGTATTGATCTTCTCATCTAGCTCTCGGCAAGAAAGCAAAATTTCTCTTTAACAGTAGGGCTGTTATTATTACCTATGGATGATGATACTGAAACCCCATCATGTTAACTTTCTACAAATATTGTTCACATGAATGACTCGAGCAAGCTGTTCTATTCAGAAACATGACGAATGAGTTATTGGTATAAGGTTTTCTTTTACATAGGTTTAGAGTATATACTGCATAAAAGTGAAACACAAGAGTGCATCCCTTTACACATCCATTTGACTATTAATGTGATCTTGCATACATTTGCCATATTGTCACGTGTACTCCAAAATATCCTTCCATATTACCCAACAGCAAGGATGGTGCTCAGACAGCAGGTTTTAACCAATGAGGCTGCACCTACACATCGAACATCACCGCTTCTCTGTATATAAGCGGCATCATCCCATTTTCCTACCAAAGCTGTATTTTGACATGATGAGGACAAGCCCTGTCAAAGTTACCACCGCTGCCAGCGAGATGCCTGTTGGCGAGGACTGTTCATCTATGTGACCTACATTGTGATCTGTGACTCATCAGGCTGGAGTGTAACTTGCGTGTGTGTCTGCTTTTACGTGCCACCAAGGAGCTTAAACCCACTTTGATCAGCTGTGTCTTGAGCTTAACACACACAATGCACACATGCATGCAACCAGACAACCTCCTACTGTGGCTCGGAAGACACTAAAGACATAGCAGATTAGTTTAAAAGAGCAATCAATTACAATGTTGTTCACTCCTACAGTACTTAATAGAGACTTTAATGAATAGCCGACTATGTTTTCTGGATGACATTAGTGCAACATAATGGGTGCAAAGTATTTGTTACAACTCTTAATTCTTATGAGGAAGTGTATCAGCGCACTTTTTGCCCAGCGAGCACTGAAACCAGCATGTGGACAGAGACAGGCAGGATGTAAACATTACGGTCTCTTATTAATCTCCAGACATCCTCAGCTTCAGCATTCTGAGGGGCTACGTCATGTTGGATCCCACCTGCAGTGTGCCCTCGGACTGCACTGACTCTGAAGAAAATCACTGTCACTTAGTGTAACAGAGCTCAGAGCTGAGTGACAGGCAAACACACACGAGCGCGTGCGCGCCCGAGCTGATGCAGTTACCTGGCTGCCCCCAACATAGCCTACAGGATGCAGGGTGGAGGGGGTGATGGTGGGTGAGGGAGGGATGCAGGAGGTTGTGTTGTGATCAATAACACAAATACCACTAGAGATTTTAAACAATCTAAAATGCTAGTAGGATTTTTGTTGGAGATAAATGGAATAACAGCAACACACACACACACACACACACACACACACACACACCATTAAGGGCCAATCTCAGCATTGTTTTCAGTGTGCTGCTGCACAGATTTGGCCCAATCGATCCTGAATCCAATAAAACACCGTGTAATACATCCCAGTTATTATAGTGATTGCTGTATAATTCAGTGACTCAGGGTGCAGGTGTGGATAACTGAAGCGTCCATCCGGGTTTAGTCCGCTACTCACCCTTCAGTAGGTTCCCATATGGGGGCCGTGGAGCCCGCCTTGTCAGCCCAGGATGCTGGTGAACACACGGGATGATCTAAGCGCATACTAAGGCCAGGTGAGCCGGGAGAAACGCCTGATCTCGGTGTCCTGTGAGAAGCCTCCGTGCAGCCGTGTGACGGTGGATGTAGCGCCGAGCATCCTGCAGCCTCCTCCGGTTCTGCGTCCTATTGTCTCCGCATCGCTCTGTCCTCCAGGATGAGAGGAGAGGGGAGGCAGCGGAGGAGCGGAGCGCCAGTAGTGAGGCGAGGAGGGGCGGTGAAGGGGGGCAAAAGCCCTCCCCCTCCTCTCCGCTCTGGCCAATCGCAGCGCCGCTCCACCGGGAGCCGCCGCTGCTCGCTGTCTCCGTACAGACTATGTTACCTTCAGGGGCAGTCGGAACAAAACAGTTGCAGGGAAGTCAGGTCGTAAAATTCTAAACTTGTAGGCTACACCATCATTCAGTTACAGTGACTAGACTTGGAAAGCGTGGAAAACAATGACTGAAGATCAGCAGATCATTTAGAAGCGCACAAATTCATTAATTTTATCATAGTGCTCAAAAACAACCAAATCATATTAAGCAAATCCTTTAAGCTAAAGAATGGCAACTCACCCTGCTTGTACCCATTTGCCATCCATAGAAGTGAGAAATTCATCTTGAATTGCTGAGTTATGATGTTTATAGACAGTAAATAATTTAATTGTGTCCACTGTCGGAAAAAAATAGTTAGTAGTAGATTTATTATGAAATTAAAAATGCTGTTGAAAACAACTGTTTAACTGTCATGCCTCAACAATCAGTGGTCTCTATAAATAAGTTAGGTGTTGTATTTGGTAGGCTACTGCGAATAATACTAACATTCCTTGTTATGCAGATGATGCAGTTTTGTATAGCTGTGTAGACGTGCTTTATAATCTAGTCTACCTTTAATATTTTGGAATCTCAGCAGACTCATCTATTATTCTGAGAAAAGTACGATCATATCTCTGAAAATCTCATCTCACAGTTATCTCTGATCACAAGACATCCAAGGGTATCTGCTGTCTGTCGCTTATGCGCAGACGGATATGAAGAAAGCCTTCATGTGTTTTACGCCAGTTACTTTGCACATTCTGCAAAAGGACTTTAAATTGGTGAATCTGATTTCTCTAACACAATTGAAGAAGATCGCAAACTTTATACCAATCAGTCATAACATTATGACCACTGACAGGTGAAATGAATGACACTGATTGTCTTGTTACCATGGCACCTGTCAGTGGGTGGCATATATTAGACAGCAAGTGAACATTGTGTCCTCATAAGTGAAGCAGAAAAAATGGGGCAAGCGTAAGGAGAAGGTCCAACTTGTGATGGCTAGATGACTGTGTCAGAGCATCTGAAAAACTGCAGCTCCTGATGGGTGTTCCCGGTCTGCAGTACGTATCAAAAGTGGAAAGTAAGGAAAAGCGGTGAACCTGCGACAAGGCCATGGCTCATTGATGCATGTGTGGTCCGATCCAACAGATGAGCTACTGTAGGTCAAATTGCTGAGAAAGTTAATGCTAGTTCTGATAGAAAGGTGTCAGAACACAGTGTGTGACAGTTTGTGTGAGTTTGGGGCTGCGTAGACGCAGTCCAGTCAGAGTACCCATGCTGACTCCTGTCCACTGTTGAAAGCTCCTACAATGGGCATCAGAACAGAGCAATGGAAGAAGGTGGCCTGGTCTGATGAGTCAGATACATGGAGGCCCCAACTCGCAACTTACTGGACTTAAAGGATCTGCTGTTAAAGTCTTGGTGCCAGATACCACAGCACACCTTCAGAGGTCTAGTGTTGCGGAGTCCCAGACTTGATGGGTCATGGCTGTTTTGGTGGCAAAAGGGGGACCTACGTAATTTTAACATAATGTTATGGCTGATCGTGTTTGGTAAATGACCAACACATAATTGTGTCTGTCAAGCCTACCTCTAGTCTTATTTTAGGATTAATATCTATTTTTAAGCTGCTGTCTTGGCCTGGTCTCCCTTTCATAAGGTTTTCAACTTCAGTGAGACTTAAATAAAGGTGAGAAAAAAAATCACACAATTTTAAGACAAATAAACCAGATGAATACCTTTTTTACACGCAACTACCCTAACTACCATCACCAAATAACTGCTGTGTCACTGGTTTGACTTTGTTGTTTTTTAAATGTAAAATCAAATTTTAGCTCTCATTTTTGACTAACAAGCTTTGAAGTTTGAGTTTACAAGCTGCACTTGAATGCCTCATCAGGCATCTTATGGCAGTGCAACAGTCCCATGTCTAATATAAATGTGTTTTTTATGGGGAAAAAACAAACATCACCTGGTAGTCATCTCTGCTGTCTCATGACTGTGGCTCAATATAAGTATCTGTATCTCTAACAACACATTAGTACAATATTCAACTCTGTGGGCCACAACAGTGCTGTCAGTTAACATTGATTAGTTCTAAACAATCAAGCTGAACTTTATCGAAAGGGCAATATGGACTAGTGCAATATCCAAATAACAGGAGCAACAATATTTGTCGAAGGCTAAATATGTGTCATTCAGAATTAAGTATTGTGGGACTGCAGAGATGTCCTGGAGAAAAACTCTTTTTCATGTAAAATGAGAATAATGATGCAATAATTATTGTTTGCTCAAATATCGTCAATTGTATTGCAATATCAGTCAAACAAATAGCAATGACATATTTTTTCCCAAAAGGTTCAGCCCTAACAGTGACGGATATCTTACTTGATGATGTTTGTACATTTTCTCTGTTAGTGCATTGTATTTTACTAGTCCTGTGAAAAGCATCGTAAGGTACCGTTCTGCCTTTTAAACGAATAGCCTGTAGTTGTTGTTCATGAGCTTTACACCAAATGACCTTCGTTCTGATCAAAAACATGCTGCATGTGGCTCATTTTGTACATTTCCCTCTCAGTGACACATTACCCATGACTGGTTCTTTGAAGAAAACAGCCCTCTGGTTACCAAGAGGTTGCATCACAGGATGGAAATAGGGAGGTGCTGTCCCCGGAGGCTGTTTCTGATCTCTCCAGCAACACTCATCACATGGGTAATAAGTGTCCTATTTTGTAAGGATTACCATCCTACAGCCAGTACACAGACTGAAGCTCTAATAGTGAGGTTCAGGGACCACCAGGGATCCTTTGGAATGATGAGAGACCAGCTTTTCCTGTAATAATGAGTTGGCAGGTTGGCGCTGCAGTTCTGTGGTTCAGCCTTGAACTAGGCAGAATGTCAGCTGGCCTCTTCTTTAAAGAATAATAATTGTATCAAGAAGAGCCGTGTAAGTGATTAAAGATAAGTGTAGGAGCTCTGTGAGCATCATATGGATGTTCTGTGTACAGCCTGTTCCCTGTGACAGCGTAATTACCAGGAATAATAGGAGCATGAGAGAGACCTGTCCAGCATGCTCCGCTTCCACTTGATTTAACTTAACTTAAGAACGTCTGTAGGTTTGTTTAAGGACTAAAAACAGGTTGGGCATGTGTTCACATACAGGACCATGAGTCAAAGTGACAGAAAAAGAATTTAATTCCAAAGGAATCCGAGAGTAAAGGTGAGGTAGGGGAATAAAGAAACATTAAAAACATTCAGTATGTCTACTGATAACTTTGTAAAGTGAAATTGTACACATACTAGAAAACACACAGTTTGTTGGCAATACAAAAATTTTGGACACACAAATGAAAAAGGAATGTGCAGTTTTTTTCATTAGCTGGCAAAATAATACATGGAAAATAAAACATACACGAGGAACAATTAATAACAATTAACAATTAAAATAACTAAAATCAGTGCAGGCTAAACTTAAAAAAGCCTATAAAATGCTTTTAGATGGGGTGTGAGTGCAAATATTTCCACAAACTTACAAAGGATTTATACAAACAGATATAGTGCCAGATCCTTGGTGTGGAGATGCTGCGCCAGGTTCTGAATGCGACACAGGCGAACGTTCTGGGCGTCTCCTGCGCTGTACACTCTGAATATGTGATAGCGCTCCTTCTCCTTCAGTGCAAAGTCCAGCTCGTTGGCAGAGAGGTGGATGAACGACTTCTCTTTCTTTATGGTTGACTTCACTTCCACATACACCACCCCCGGCCCTCCTGCAGCTTCAAAAGTGAGCTTGAAGTCGTAGGGCTGGCCGCTTTCTCCGCCCTGATTGCACCACAGGACGTGGGCGGGTCGTCCGGGGTCGCTGCTGTCTCTCCAGTGGCACAGGAAGGAGTTGACCAGCTGCTCCCCCCACTCGCCAATCACTGCCACGTCCATCAGGTCGTCTGATAACACCACCTATGCAAGCATAGCACAATTTAGAAAATCTTGCACCTGACTCAACCGCTCAGAAAGCAGCACATGTGGTGAATGTACTGACAGTGGTGGGTCTCTGGCAGGTGAGCTCCATGTCCTCTAGTGTGGCCTGTGGAGGCTGGTCTTTGTTCCAGAGAGGGAAGTCCAGGTTCAGAGGAGGACGCTGAGACTCTGCAGCCCCCTGAAACATACTGGAAAGCACCACGGCCTCAGGGACGACGCTGATAGACCGACAACGGGAGAATCAGTTAAGAGAGGGAGAAAAAGAAGGAATTAGTGTTGAGTAACCTCAAAAATCAACATTAGTTTTCTACATAAATTTTTTAGATTTTTGGGCACGAGGAGAAGAAGCCTACAGGCTGTTTGGAGCAGGCTGGTCTCTGGCTGTCTCAGCAGGCTGTGCAGATGGTCGACTCTGTGTTGGTCTGGGAGCTGCGAGGTTTTCCTCTACGTTCTCAGCTCTGTCAGACCCAGTGGTCTCACTCTGCTGCCTGCGTTCTGTCAGCGACAGACGAGACCAAATGGAAGGATTTAACAAAGGATATTCTGAATATGAGGAATAAAGTCACTACGTGCACAATTTTAGTGTGATTATAGCACCTCTCTGTCTCACAGTCCAAATATCCAAATTGTACATGTAGTATTAAATAAGCAGAAAAACTATTGAATACGACATGCTCAGATAAAGAAAAAAGCCTTGTTTTGGTGGAATGATTTACTACAGCTACAGGTGAATAATTTTCACCTGTAGCTGTAGCTCGTTTTAAAATGCTGCCACACCAAAGACAGAATTAAGCTAATAATATCCACCAAACTCCTGAAAGTTCAACATAGTGTGGGACTGGTGGTTATCTCGTTTCATAGAGCATATCTTAACCTACTACTAACCACCAATGTTTCCTATGCATACACTAGAAGCTCTGTACTTTCAT